TCTCATACGTTAACGAGACATACAGTGCTGAGAGTTATGCAGCGTATTTGTGATTCGCCCGACTGGTTCGGGAGTTTGCCAGCCGATATGAATCTTTCAAGTGAACGATTGAACTGGATAATTAAACTAGAAGCTAAGATGTCGATGAGGAGATGGTTCTCTGTCCCAGAGTACACAATGGAGAAAAAATTATCACGGAGGGTGTTCTATAAACTTCCGTTTTGACGCTCATGACTTGAATGCACAGACTTTAGGAACCTTCTGGCGTGAAACAGAAAACCATGAGCTCACTACACAACAAGATTCGACCCGATCTTAACATTGGGCAGATTCGAATAAGTAGTATTCACCTCCAATAAATGCATGGTTTTCCATCTTCGGTTGGATGCTTGTGACACCTGACTCAACAACAAGGAGTTGAAGGGATCTATCATCTCAAAATAACTACATCGAACGTTATTTCCCAACCAACCTCGCATTTACAGTCTTGTGGGGGGTCTTTCGACAGCTATATCACAGGTGTTTCCGCCATATCCTTAGCAGTTTCATAGAGCTAAACCTAGAAGTTAAAAACGTTGTTTTCCTCTTAACTTCTGAAAGCCGAGATCCATTGATCACCCACCAGGATGACCTGCACTAAATAAATCCGGGCTTTGGAGAAGACCTGTAGCATTTGATTTAAATTCCTTGGCATATACATTCTTTAGAGGTGACACTCCTGTGATGCTCAAGAGATTAAGGGCTTCAGAGCTCCCGTACCCTCCAAGTTGAGCTCGATCATGAGTCTCAGAATTAAGGACTGGAACATAATAGGATGGACATCGGGTATGACCGCTATTCGAAGAGAAATTTTAGGATTACGAACGCCCTCGCCGTGGAGTTCGCTTGAACCCTATCATCGGGGTCCTTCAGGCTCAAACTTGTCTTCCCTTTAAGGTCACGGGGGGATCTTGCACACCACGTCGGTCGTCCAGTAGTTATGACGCAAGGTCTGTTTTACTGAACTCCAAAAACCAATGCGATTTATCCTCGCTTACTTCCTGGCCCCGTGGAACGGCTCCTGGTTTTTGGTGATTTTTGTTGCAGTAAATAAATATGTAAACCCAGCCAGTCGTCTGCTATGGCTCTAGCGAACCCGACGGGTAGTTGGTTTTTGGTAAAGTTTCGCAAAGGTTTGTGATTTGTCCTTGGAATATGGTGCGGATAAGTTTCTCAATTGTCGTGTCGCTAAATTGCTGTTCAAATTGGTCGAAAGGGGAATGTAAAGAGAATGAAAAGATAACTACGGGAAGAAATCAGAGGAAGTGAATGAAAGTGAACATAAAGGACAAACCTTGGCAAACTCATCGAAGACCGGCAGGAAAACAGTAGTAAGCGGACACTTAATTGATGAAGTGAGACTATGCGCAGTTGCGGGGAGGGAAGGGAGACGTTTATTTTATAGCAGAATAGAAATGGCAGAGATATTGGTGGTGGCCTGATAATTGTGGGGGTAAGGCACTGGATTGGGAAGTATGGAGTTCGGGGTGAGCTCATGATAACTGCGGCATAAGAAGAGGAATGGTTTTTTTGGGGGGGGGGCGGTGTTGAAATAATGCGGAATTACTTGGTTGTTTCGACTTATTCTGTATCCCACCAGATGAACACAAGCCATGTATTATCGCGTAGCCGTTCGAGCTGTTCAGATATTGCCTGTACTAATGGCATGCATTTGTATGATTCATCATTCGAAACATAGCACTGTTATTATTAGGCCTTTCTTGATGGCATCGACAGATGGGGTGGCAACAAATTCGGCAGGCAACGCATTTCTATGAACGCAGTTTGAAAGAGAGAAAAAGCGTCAACTTGCACTAGCTTTCGGCTTTTGATAGATGGTTCTCTCTTAGTTTCCTCGACGGTTGCCATAATGACCGATCAGTTAAAGCCTCCTTTTCTATTGGCCTGAACTACTGAGCATATGACAAGGTATCATCACGCCACTAAGCAACCTGTGGTCCCCAAAAGAATCAAATCTTTGCCACATCCCTAAAAGGCCCCCCATGATCCACGTCTGGACCTTCTCCAGGAGGTCTACATCTCTTTTCAAGGATGGTGGTGCACTGACGTTGCAAACCTCCAAGTGAGGTAGCAAGTGGATCTGCCGAGGCTTCAGGAGGAGTTCCAGAGTCAGTAAACCCAGTCGCCTAAGCATGAGGTGCAGCATTCCTTCGCTTGGGTAATTGAAACGAGTGTCCAGCTTGCCAGCCAGTCCCAGTCCGAGGTCGTTCTCCCGAGTTCTGTGCGAAACGTAAGATGGTAAAGATGAATGTGTATTTCGAGTAATGGACTATACGAACACACCACTTTTACAGGCAATATCTGAATGTTTTTTCTCGGCGAAGCCGCGAAAATTCAGAAAGAATAAAATCATCTTGCCCTACAAAGTCTTCTGGAGAAAGCAATTGGGTCGAGAGTGCGAATGTGCATTGTTTTAAACTCATTCAGGTTAAGCCTGTCATTATTCACCCATTCTGCAAACATCCTGAGGTCACTTCGTAGTACTCTTGGTTCCCTTTTAGATGCCACAGCTCTTCATAGTCCATAATCGCTCCTCGCGATGCACCAGATAATGATGCTTTCCGGGTTGGGCAAACCCTACTGATTTTTGTGCAGATCTTCCTATCGTCCATATAGTCCTTGGTCCGGGATAACATCCAACCCAACATTGCTACTTTACACGTGAGAATGGTACATGGCATCGTGTTGAAGATTTCGGCAAATTCCAGGAAAATCAAATGGATGAAAACCTTGAGATCCAAGGGAACCGTCCAGTTGCCACAAAAGCCACAAGGTCCGGGGTGCAACATTTACTGTTTCAGAAGACATGTTGACACCACTTGATGCCCCATTTTTTAAGTATTCCCTGGAGTTTCTGTTCACCACGTTCCTAACATTTTCCAGATTCGCTACTTGAGGACAGAAGGCCGTTAGGCTTCATTTATACTTTCCAAGTAGGTCTCTTTTGATAGAGTCAGCCGATGAAGCGGACGCCTCCGCTCCTTGCAGTCAGCTTCAGTAATTGATTGCTTGATGCGAAAAGTAGTGCTCTGTGGATACTAAGTTCGTCCCTTGCCTTCATATTATCTTGCTGTGTCTTTCGAAGTGTCCCAGCCTAGTTAGTAAGAAAAGTGAAGATAGATCGAGTCCAAGACCGTTACTTAGATTCCTGTATGGAGTGGTTAGATCTCCCTACTGTCCACGACGCGATAAAGATGAGAGGCTTAGCTCCTTAGGTCAGTCACCTTAGGTCAGGTCAGCAATCACAGGGATCATGTAGATGACTGTCCTGTGAACTGTTTCCGGAAGGTCTGAGTCACTTTTCAGACATGGATTTGACGCCTGCATGCTGTTTTCCCATTTGGACCTGACTAAGGGTAGGCACAGGGTGATGAACATATCACCAGTTCTTTTTGTAAACTCCCCGTATCATGCCTACAGTGTCTTAAAACTCCGAGCTCCGATCAGTCCACAGTGTGACATGGTCTTCAAGTCATCACTCACTGTGGCTCCTAGGTCGTTGTAGGTCAGTTGTAAGATTAGAGGAGTCCCAGCAGTAAACTGTGTATTTCAGTCTGTGTGCTGCACATGTGAGCTCACAAATTTACCCACGTCGGTAGGCAGATATTTCAATGACCAGGTAAATAAGCTGTCTACCTCTGTCTGAAGGGGGCGTCCATCCTCGTCATCCCTGTGTTCTCGCCAGATTTTCGTATTATCAGAGCAGAGAAGCAAGAGCGGTTTCGTGATATCGGGCAAAAATACTGGAAGATGTGATGTTAGTTGATAACATTTCGGGTCCTGTCCATCTTCTTCCTTTACTAACCGGAGTGTATAACGCCCTAGTGTCTTGCAGAATGATGTTTCCCGGTAGAATGGATAATATAACCTAAAAGCAGACTTTCAAAGCCTCAGTAACTTGAAGTTTTCTGAAATTTCTTTTAAGTTGTATGATGCAGTAACGAGTAACGCACAGATTCGACTCACTTCAGTGCAAAGAAGTCAGTTCTCAGGTGTTATCGTGCTCACCATATGTTGTAGTGTTGTTTGTAAGAATACAAGCATTTTCTGTATTCCATATGAATACTTCACCTATCTGCACAATCTTTACAATTCTGCCTGTCACTGAATCATATTTCAAACCCTTTTTTCATGTGCAAACTTTTGTCTGCACTTAAATGGAATTCCATTTCTTACGCGGAAATCGATTACAATTATTCAGGATGAATGATGCCCACAGATCAGACTGAGTTATTTGAGATCAAAATTACATCTGAAATGATTTATCCCCGCAGTTTTAGCCTTGGAATATATGCATAAGTGACACATAAAATACACATTTCCAGACACGTGTTTGTACAATGGTATAACACCTGGGGATAACGTTTAGTCCCATCAACCAAAACTTTCTCGCGCCCAACTTTTATTGCTACCATAAAAAAGATGGCAATGTGATGGAAGCTACGACTGAATTATATTGTTGTTTTCTCATTTTCGTTAATTTGTGTCAGTACACCTATCAACAGAGTCAAAATATTTGTCATACTAAATACGGCAGTGTTGATTCACTGATTGTAGAAGATGTCAGGTCAAATGTTAGGCCTGAAGCGAAGTTTTCCCTTCCTCTGGTTCAATGTTTCTAGTCCCTATGTTTGGCTCTACGTCTGGTCCTAAGTTTTATTAGTTAGCGCATTGTGTGGACCGACATCTTCCAAGCTGACATTAAATCCGAACCTATTGACCCAACGTTTGGATTCATGTACAATACTTCTGATCATTTATCCCATTTATCACCCAATAATGAGCCCGACTTTTCCCTGTTTAGCTGGGCGAAAATGCCAACAGGTACATACGTGAAGTATGTGATTCGAGAACACATATGAGTGCAAAAGACATGAACTAAGTGCAGAATCATGCCTTTCGGTTTTGATGCCCTTACGAGATTATAATGTTGCGCATACCACAATTCTTTTTCTGTTTTTCCTCACCTTTAAAATGAGTCATTTTGCCAGATGTTCACAAGTACTTATCATTTTTGATGGAGCTTTTACCAGTTGATTATCTAAATGTGCTAAGTCATGTGAATTAATTTGGGACGGTACATTATCGGTGTGCTCATAGCAGTTTCTTTGGTCAGTTTTCCAGAAACAGATGGGGAACTACTTATTCATTGCTACACTAAGTTAAAGGAATCTTGCCATGGGTTAGGTATATATCCTAGCGTTTAACCATCAGTCTTTAAATAAATAGGTTCACCAAAAGTAAGAACTCGGTTCTGTAAAACATCTCGTACTAAACTTTCCCCAAAGTGAACATTACTCAAACCTGTGCGGTTATGCACCTCAGTACCTGTTTCTATCTTGGAGCAGCACACAAAGTTTTCAGCAAGAGTTCAACAATCCAAACGTAGCCTTGGCATGGTTTTGTGACAAATGTTTGGCTTTTTACTCCCTTTCAGACCATCATTATATACTGCGTAGAAGCGCTTTAACTATTTGTACTCAAATGGTACGTAAATCAGATAATACCAAAAGCAATACTCCAGTGACTTATTCTCCTTCCCGCAAATGGCTAGTGATAAACTATTTTGGGTATACCGCACAGCAAAACAGGTAAAGTGTATTGATGTTGGACTTGCAAATTCGCTTTTCTAGGACATTCTACAAAATGACCATTCGTTGGCAGACCAATAGGTGCTCGAATTCCAGTTACTGATGTCTAAGGCGAGCATGAAAGCCAGTCTAGGAAATTTGTTTTCTCAAATTCCCCTTATTCTTGGTGTCATTTTTTACCTGGAGTTCTCATCAGTAGTGGTCATGGAAAGTAGCAAATAATGAAGTAACAGTACTGACGTATCCTGAATCACAACCAATGACTGGAACACGTAAGTCACAATAAATGGGTGTTCAAAGGCGAGAAGAAAATCTAGAATATTGGTAAATTGTCAAATCTACAAGACTAAAGTCACAGAATGTAATAATGAAGCGCTGAAACAGATACACTAACATAAGATAGTGGAAAAAAAGAGTCGAAAGGGTGGATCAGCAACTCACTTGTTTACCCCAAGTAGACCGATATGAAAGGTTGCAGGTTTGAACACAAACGATGTTTGCTTTGACTGGTTCGTGAACGAAAGCTGTTCTTTAGCATAATAATAGGCACTTCGTGATCTCATAACATTCAGAAGAGGCTTTCACTGAAAGGACAGCTTTAGTGATATATTTGACCAATCATTAGTAGCTAGAATAATAGGAACTTTAATCGCTAGCTGGAGAGCCTCAGTCATTAAGTGAAGACAGCAGACAGATGCACTTTCGGTTACATATATTCAGTAAACATTTGAGTGCTTATGACATATGGTACTTAGCCACATGAGTATTTGTAAGCTTTTTACGTCGATCAACAGTATTCGCTAGCCAAATATGGTTGAGCATTTAGGATCTTAGAATGAACTTTAAATTAGTCAGATGTATTATGGTAATGTAAGGCCAGTTTGTACCATCTTTTATTTTAATGGTAGGGAGTACTAGCCACATACACTGAACAATCCACTTATCTTGAGGTTAAAACGGTCCTAGTAGGTTACAGTTAAAGAAATTTGTTAAGCGTAGGAACCATCGAGAGGTTGAAATCAAATATCAAGCGATAAGAATTCATTAATGCAGTTGACATTTTGTTTGTTGTCAAATCCTTCATCTGTTGTCAATTTTCTCACCACATACTGCCAATGTGAATACTTTAAAAAATCTTTACTCCCTTCTTTCCCTTCTCTTAAGTTTTTTCTTACGCACTTTTCACCTAGCTGTCAGTAATAGTCTACTGTGAATAGACTCGGGGGCTAAAAATCGTGCTAAAAATCTAGATACCGACATACTTCTTATGATGACTTTTAAATACCACAGGCTGTTAGCTGCTCATTATGATTTAAAATAGCTCACACTTAAGAACGGAATAGTATTAACACTATAGTTTCATATGCCCAGTTTCGTTGGAAACCAGAGACAACAGAAGTTCATTACGGACCTGATTTTCTATTTTTACTATTGATACTATTATTATTTTTTCGTTATTTCCAGATACTTCTGAAAATACATAAAGACGCTATTCCCAGTTCGCTGTAAATATGAAGTCAAATACTTAAAATAATCACTGGAATTCATTAGAAGAAGCTGCTTGTAGTGGTTTTGAGAACAACTTAACATATTTCTTTATTGTAAATTTTTGGTCCTCTAAAGTGATGACTTGCTTGTTGGGACAGCTGCTAGTGACTGAATGAATAAACACAAAGATGAGTTTTGAGTACAACAGCCGTGGCAGCACACTTCAGTTTCTACCAAATCTGTGTTTTGATGCCTCGGTATATGATAAATTTTCGTCCCTGTCATTCGCGTTATCAGGAAACAGATTTTGGGATCTATATAAGTCTTCAGATAACGTATGTCTCAAATTTTATGCTGATGGTTAATAACTTCCAAAAGGTTTGTATCAAGCATGGAAAGATCAACAAAAATCAAGAAAGAACTAGAATTGTGTTCCCTAGAAAGTCAGCTTCTGGACGGTTAAAACTTCCCTCAAATGTAACTTGGTATGTTGTTTTGGTCAAATGTTCATGTAGCACATTACTGGCTTTAAATGCTTATCACTTTTTAGTTGTCAAAATTCCAACTTTACGTGTGGGATGAAGTGTGGACGTACAAAAGCAACGTAAAAGGTGGAGAACACTAAAATGTTGCACAGAACGAATAATTAGTACATAGTGGTTAGCTTGATATTGGGGTTAGTTGTTATGGCTTTTATGGCCAGCAGCCGGAAATTCTATGGTTTATCTAGATGAGAAGGGAATGTTGGCATAATTCATAATGTTGTTTAATTGTAGAGTTTATCTGAAACAGGTTCCTGAGAAAAATAAAGTGTTTTTGAAATCTTACGGACAATGTTATCGGGTAGAAAAGCACAATCACAAACCAACAAGGAATTGAGTTTTTTACGGAATATCTGGTCCTGCTCTTATGGAATGATGTGGTACTTCATCACATACTATCAGGCAATAAATATGCCCGTCATTCAAAGCAACATAAGTCGTTATATCGTGAAGGAACAGCATTCATCGGTGTATAAATGATTTCTTTAGAGACAAGGTGTTCAAAGATATAAGAAGAAATAGATTTCCTTTGTGGCGACTTCTCGAGATGCTATGAATTGAAAGGATTCTAAACACCAGCTTAATTTGTATAAGGTTTCTTCTGAAACTATTACAGCGGTTTGAAAGTAGTATTATTGATCACTTAGTTTTTTTTGACAGTCGATATCACTTCAAGGGATACGGACTATATGTTCAAGGTAAGGAACAAAACAGATTCTGTATTTTGTCTGCTGATATTTTTTCGACTCTTCTATACCTAATGAAAATTAATGCTGTATTATCTGGTGATTTTTTCAAATGTATTACTAGTTCGAGTAGAAGAATGTTAGATGTTAGTAAGTAATACGATAACATCCACTCATGTTCAGGCTAAAAATGTAATTTTATCACATAGAATAGATGAGGTTTGTTTTATGATCAAATGTTTGCACGTAATCATTATAAAGGATAGAAATTTTATAATTTAGAAACATTAGAATGATGTTTCGCTTAGAAAAAGTAAGTGGCATCTAACCTATCCAGGATTTATATTAATTTGAATAAAATGCTGTACATCTTTAAGTAGAACAGGTACAACACTCAAAGACTTGAGGAACCAGGTGGGTCATGATTATTTTCAGTTATTAATTGCAAGCAGTTGAGAATATAATGTGTCAGAATACTGAATAATCCTAACACCTGTAAACGAAGGGGATGTAATAATGAAGGATGATATAAATTACTTCACTAACTCCAACAATATTTGACTCAGTTACTGACTAGCATACCAGTGAATAAACGCTAAAGGATAGAACCAAAACGTATGGGTGCTTTCTGAAAAAAAAATATTTACATGAGGAGTATTTTCCTAATTAACTCGGCGGATAGATACCCAGTGAATAAGTAGTAAGTTTATACGAACTGTTACAATAATCAATATCTTGTTCAGTCAGAAATTTTTCCTACTTAAAGTGATATGTTTAGTAAACGGAGACAAGAACACTGAGATATGAAGTCATAACATTGTTGTACAGTAGTTCATGTCAATATTTCTGAAATATGCAATTTTTTGCATGCCCTATTGCATGATAATTTTATACCTCAGCCTTTATAATTTCTGAAATACTGTTGTAATGTCAATGTAAACTAGGCTAGATTGATCTAGACAGCAACTACTTAAATATGAAGAGCTGAAATTTCTCAGAGTTATATTAATTAAGTCCTTTTTTTCTACAGATCTTTCTAAACGTCAGTGTAACCTATCTCAAAGATTTCAATGTTACTTTCATTTTGTAAATATATGAGTTTTATATGACTTTTTACTTGTAGAGTTTTAAGTAAAAGAAGAGTGTTGAGATGCATCTAGTTTAACAAAAAGTATTGAAAAGCATTTAGAGTGTCCTATAGGTGTTCTTCTAGGACATGAGTAACAATTATGGATCGAATATTTATAATTTATGCTACGTACAAATAAAATCCAGTAATTATTTTATGTTGATGACCTTATTATTTATTTACTTACTTTCAGGCCAAAACAGAAGTTGATGATTTTGAGCAAAGAAAGGTATCAAACTTGATTGAGTAAGCTCTTAGTTATATTTTACTTATTTAGCATAATGCGTTTAAAATATATACTGCATTTCAAATTCCGAAATTTTCCTTAAAATAGATAAAACTGTAGCCTTATTGTTAATAATTTACTGATTGACTGGTAACCTTTATATTATCCGTTGCTGACTGTTTTTTTAAGGTCAGGTGATAACTATTTCTCTCTATGGTTATATTCTCTTTGTATGTAGACGATTTTAACTTAAGTGGGGTTAGTTTGACAGAATGACAGTGGTGATCAGAATGAAAGCTGCATCACTTTATGAAGTCCCTGACTGTTCATTTCAGTCATATAGAGAGATGTTGACTTCTTCACTTTGATCGTCAACACGGCTTGAACAACGGTTGCAAAGTCTTACTTATATACCTCAATATCAACAAAAATGGTTCACTTATTTGAAATCACTGTTATTCTGCAAAATTTAGTAAATCTTCGTCTTTTTATTCCGTTACATTTGATGCATGTTTGTCTACTGTAATTTCATTCGTTTTTCAACCCACCGTTTTGCATGCTACTGAGAAGTTTAGCAGCTTGAACTAATGCAGCTTTGTGTTAGGTTGTACGTTGTCCTCTCTGTATGTCTTTATTCGGTGATGTTCTGACTGTTAAGTTTCAATACTTTTCAAAATATATGCAGATGGTGGTCTTTAATCAATTTTTTGCATTAATTTACTTCTACCTTCAGACAGTAATAGTTCGACCAAAGTGAATTAATCTTTCTAATTCACGAGCTAATAAGTAGTTGAACTGTCAGTTTTATCTGAAGTAAGCGTAGACGTAATTGTGGCACATTTCGCCTACATACTCAAACTACTGGTACGACAGATTTTACTTCATTTATTCATTTTTCACTACTGATGACAGCTTATAAATATTAATAAGAGTTTTATCCCGTGTATCCATCTTAATAGTTTCCATTTTACTAGTTACTTTTGTCTTCGGTTCTTATTTTCAAAATTAAACTGAAGAAATAATGCTAGCCAACATCTATAAAAATGTTTATCTTTTTCCTTAACTTTTGATTCATGCGACATCGATGAGAACAGATTAATTAGCTCAGTTGGTAGAGCATCAGACCGGAAACCCGGTGGTTGCTGGTTCGAATCCGATCGTGGTCCAAACTTTCACTTCACTTTCAATCCCCACCCAGTATAAAATAAGAAAACCAGCATGTTTTTATCCTTTATGGCAATATCTCATAACCAATCAAACATTGATGCAGGTGTTATCCTTCTGCTTTCCTTGAAATATATATGAGACAGTAGGGCTTGATCTAATCATTTGAGACATATTTTTAGATCTAGAGTAAGCGGTTGACATAACTCCGTTAGGTGAAGATGCTGACAGGATACAGAGTCTTCTGGACACCTGGAGTTGTCATATAGGAATGTTTAGGATGGGTTTCTCGACACCAAAATGCAAGCCATTGAACAATGACTGAATTTCAATAATGCCTTGGTTCGTAGTACAGAGTGAAGTGGTTGTGGGCGTTGAATTCTTCACTTATCTAGGAAGTCAGATTGACACTGGAGAGTTAGTGGTTAACAGAATTTTGACACGGATGCAAAAAGCTGGATTGGCTTTCGTAAGCTTGCGCTATCTATAGCACCGTCACGATATTCAATTGTCTCCTAAGGGTCGAGTGTACTGTGCTGAAGTTCACTCTGTTCTGATGTATGACTGAAACATAGCCATTAAAGGTAGAGGATATGAGAAGGCTTCTGGATTTTGACCCCCACTGCCTTCGTAGCATAGGCTATGAGTCGTGGTGTCACCATGTGAGTAACGCAGAAGTTAGGTGTAGATTTTTATGAGGGGAGGAAATTCTCTTGACAAAGTCGTGAACATTCATTGACTCAGATGGCTAGAACATGTGTTGCGCATGCCCAGTCACCATCTGCCTTGTCGTAATGTTAGGTGAAGTATGTTCAGGCTGGTAAAAGACTTGGGAAGGTCAGACTGAAACAAGAAATCATTGCATGAGATCTTTGTATGTTGGTGCGAGCTATGTAGAGAGGTGCATACTAGCCAGTTGGGGGTCCATATGACAACAGAAACCAGTGGCTGTGGACTCTAGGTGATATGACTCAGTATCGGTGTTATTAGCGCACATGTATCCATACTATATCTTCATCTCTATTCTAAATTCAGCATTTTCTTATTCCTGCTTCCTCTCTGTGTCTGCATTCTACAGCTGCTGACCGAGTTTTCATTTTTCTTCACATTTCATCTTGATAGTTGTTACTTGTTGTGGTGATATGAGGTGTGGCAGCTAAGACCGTTATGACGCAACGCCTTGTGCTATGCTGACATATATATATATATATATATATATATATATATATATATATATATTATTTGTCCCTTGGGTTCCTAGTGGAACATAAGGCTTCAGTAGCACGTCTCCATTGCACTATGTTCACTGCAGTCTTTTCAATCTGGCTCCGCGACTGCCTACAAGCTTTTATTTCTTTCTCACATGATCTCCTCCTTGTCATCCTCGGATGTCCAACTCGTCGCTTCCCATTTGCATTCCGTTCGAGGGCCTTGCACGTGATGTCCACGAATGGTCTTCTCAGTGTATGCCCAATCCACCTCCACTTCCCTCTGCATATTTGTTGAGCGATAGGTTCTTGGTTGGTTCGTCGCCAGCCAGCCAGCCAGCCAGCCAGCCAGCCAGCCAGCCAGCCAGCCAGCCAGCCAGCCAGCCAGCCAGCCAGCCAGCCAGCCAGCCAGCCAGCCAGCCAGCCAGCCAGCCAGCCAGCCAGCCAGCCAGCCAGCCAGCCAGCCAGCCAGCCAGCCAGCCAGCCAGCCAGCCAGCCAGCCAGCCAGCCAGCCAGCCAGCCAGCCAGCCAGCCAGCCAGCCAGCCAGCCAGCCAGCCAGCCAGCCAGCCAGCCAGCCAGCCAGCCAGCCAGCCAGCCAGCCAGCCAGCCAGCCAGCCAGCCAGCCAGCCAGCCAGCCAGCCAGCCAGCCAGCCAGCCAGCCAGCCAGCCAGCCAGCCAGCCAGCCAGCCAGCCAGCCAGCCAGCCAGCCAGCCAGCCAGCCAGCCAGCCAGCCAGCCAGCCAGCTAGCCAGCCAGCCAGCCAGCCAGAGCCAGCCAGCCAGCCAGCCAGCCAGCCAGCCAGCCAGCCAGCTAGCCAGCCAGCCAGCCAGCCAGCCAGCCAGCCAGCTAGCCAGCCAGCCAGCTAGCCAGCCAGAGTTTCTTGTTGTTTATTCTTTCTGGCCATCTGATCTGGTCTTCAGTATCGAGTGAGCTAGAGTGGACGGCAGCTGTTGATGTATGATGTCTGTAGTTTCTTGAAAATGCTTTTCGTGACCCGCCAAGTCTCTGCACCATCACATAGAAGTATTGACTTGACTGACATCAGTGTTGAAAATCTGGATCTTGGTTTTTATACTGAGTGCAGTCGATCTCCACACTGGTTTCACATTAATGATGGCCTGTCTTTTTCTGATTCTGATTTTGGCTTTGACATCCTCATCTGTGCAGCGGCCATCACCGCCTGTAGTTGAAATGATGTTGTCTAGCCAGGTAGTTGAAAGAGACTACTTCCTTTAGGTTTCTCCCGTTGATGGTGATTAATTCTTGTTGTTGTTCGTTCGTTTTCTTCATCACCTGTGTCTTCTCTACATTCACTTAAAGTCCCGTTTTCGCTCTCTTCTGTCAACTTGTTGGTTTTCGCCTGTAGAGCTTCTGAGACATAAGACACAAATCATCGGCAAAATGCAAATCTTCTTCTGAGGTTATTTTATCGGTCCAGCCAGCGTATTCCCATTTTCTCGCTGTTAATAGTTTACTGCATGATCCAGCCCACTCGACCACAATCAGGAAGATGATAGGTGATAGTAGGTGGCAACCTTGTCTTACTCCAGTCTTCACTTCAAAAGCATCAGTGAGCTTTTCATTGTGAACCACTTGGCATGTAAAATCACATAGCAAATCGTTGCTGCTGAATGAGGTTGATAAAAGTGTGTGGCATTAAGTCCGTAGTGTTGAAGCAGCTGCATGCCAAATTACTTCTCGATCAACGCTATGGAAGGCTTTTTCGAAGTTGATGAAGTCGAGGTACAGAGTTGATTGGCATTCTATGTTCTGTTCTATGATGATGCGCAGCGTAGCCCTGTAATTCGATCCGCACATGATTTGTACTTCCTGAAGCCAGTCTGTTCCTGTCGTAGTTCTGAATCCAGAGCATCTTTTATTCTCTCCAGGATGATGGATCTTAATATTTTGCTTGGGTGTGGACAGCAGCATGATTGAGCACCAGTTCTTGCAAAGACTTAGGTCTCCTTCTTCTGGAGTTTGACAAGATGGCCCTGCTTCCAATTGAAAAGTATCTTTGCTACCTTCAAAACCTTCTGCGAAAGTGGTATGGTGTGAGCATGTCCGCTGTTGTCTCTGTGTCTGTTTTCGATGCTTCTGTGTTCACTGGTAGTTCTGTACCTGAGCTGCTGGTGGTATTTCTGGACAAGCTGCAGGTGGTGGTCGATTGAAGAGTATTTCAAAGTGGTCAGCCCATTGTTTCATTCCTTTCTTCTCCTTGGTAACTAGGTCTCCATCACTATCTCTCATTCGTTTCGTCTGAGTTGATCTCTTCCGTCCCAGATAGTAACCTGATTATTTGATACAGTCTTGTCAGGTCTCTATCTCTCCTGCCTGCAGCCTGTTCTGCTTCACTTGTCAGGGTGTCGTAGGTGTGTCTTTTGTCTTTGCGAACACTCTTCTTCACCTCTTTGTCCAGTATAGTGTTTTATACATTGTACTCAGTTCCTCCTTTCGTTGTTCATCCCTCCACTGCACTGGTTCGTCTTCTACGTCACCATCTTCCTCTCCCTACTGTATCAGCTTCCATGTGTCCGTCAAGATCCATTCCTTGTCTTGTTTCCTCTTCCTTCCTAATACGGTTATTCAGGTTTCCTTCCATGTCTCTTTCAAAGAGTTCCAGTGTTCTCCCACACCAGATCCTTCACGGATGTTGCTCAACATCTTCCATTTCATCTTGATGGCTGACGTGAACATGTCCTTTATAGTTTCGTCCTTCACTTTCTGTTCTGGGTGTTCAACTTGAACTGTCGTCTATCACCAACTTCCTTGAAGGCTTTTAAATTGATTTTGAAGGTTCCTTGCACTAGACAGTGAGTGGTGTGAACCACCTATGTCTGCTGCTCTTCTTGATCTGATCTTGTGTCCAGTAGGCTACGTCTCCACTTTCTTCACATGGAGATGAAGTCGATCTGATTTTTAGTGTGTCTGGTGAAATCCATGTGGATGTTCTTGAGCTTGAACACACTGCCTCCAGTCACCAAATCGCTGAATGCGCATAAATCTGCAAACAGTTCACCATTCTCATTCATTTTGCCGGGTGATTCCCGACCCATGATCAGTTCAATTCCTGTGTTGTCCGCTCCCAGTTTGGCATTCATGTCACCCCATTTGAATGAATTTTAATGTCACCAACTGGGGTGGGGTCTTGTCCAGTACTGATTGCAGTTGTCTGTAGAATTTCTCCTTCTCCCCTTGACCAGCATTATTTGTAGGTGCGTAGCATTGTATGATTGTGACTTTCCTTCCTTTTGAGTTGAACCCATTCTGCTGTCATGATCCTGATCCTGCATGAGGAGATTGGTTCCCACTGCATCAGAGGGAGCCTTTCATGCTCTTGAAGACATCATGATATCCACTCCAAAACTCAGTGTGCCCGTGGTTGTCGTCTGGGTGACAATATCGGAGTAGACTATTGACTTCTCGCCAGTTGACAGTTTGGAGAGTCCACTTACATTCCACCTGCTTTCACAAATTCCTACTACTCCTATGCCATATCTTCTTATCTCTTTTGCCATCTTGGCAGCCTTGCTAGGTTCAAACATTGTGCGAACATTCCATGTCTCTATGTCTACTTTCGATTTCATCGAGAGTAGAGAAGACGCGTCGGCCGACTGGCTTCCCGAAGGCTTTCATCAACTGGCATCATTTTGTCTCCCCGGTTCCAGTGAGGAATAAGTTTGATTTTGTTTTTATCGTTTGTATGTGCTTTGAAGTTTCTGTAGCGGATGGATTGGTTTTCCGGGGTAGGGTTGCTAGCCCTATGTCCAAGCGTCCCTCTTTACCCGGATTTAGGACAGTCTAGTAACTAGTGAACTAGTTAATTAGGCGAGGTTTGATATATATATATATATATATATATATATATATATATATATATATATATATATATATATATATGAAGATAAGAGCGATAAGAAGCCACCTGGGTTCTGACAGACGTGTGAAAATCTAGAGGCTGCACGTCAATATCATTTGACTACAAAAGATAATGTGAAGCCATTTTATGTATTGGTTGAGCATTATCTGTAAACATTTAGAAAAACTGTCAGAAAATAGGATTAAGTGTAAGCGAATAATTAATACTACAATAGCAAAACAGCATCACTTACAGAAAAAGTAAATGTTGCAAAGACAACTTACTGCACATACCTATGCAAATTTACTCCAGTTTTGCAGTTCTGTTCCTTTCTATTCCTATGCTGTAGAAGAAACTGGACTATTTAGAAATCTAAACTCAATGCTGAGCTTTTTCACTGCTAGGTAGTGTTAAATCTTTGATTGGGTATGTTCCACACAAAAATTAAATTGCTGGTGAGATATTTATAGGTTTTATAATGTGCCCGAAATTTCCCCAAATGATAGAATTTGAAGTTAAGCTTGTGCCGAAGTACGCTTGTGAATCCCTAAATTGCACCATTGACAAACAAAAGTTGTGAATTAGTTTAAACGTTTCTTATTCGATAGGTTTATCTGATACTGCACACAGCTATGCAGCGTGTTACTTACTGGATGAAGTTTAGAGCACAAATTATTTATAGTGATCGTATCAAGGTGTGTCATTATGAGTAATGACTTGTGCTCTTAACCCCATCCAGTAAGTAATACTGCATCATAACACTGTATATTGAATAAATTTATTCAAAACGGAATTTCACCCTACCATAGTGCCTGATTTTACTTTTACAGTTAAAGCGTTATTAGGATCGGTGGTAGATAAATTTATTCACATTCGTAACCTGTGCAGATAAAAGTGATTTTAGTTCAGTATGGTGGTTCCAGGGACTTCTTGATTTCAAAATGGTATTCATCATGGACTGACATATGTTGGAAAGTCACTGAGAACCTGAGAGTGCTAGATAGCTGTTTTGTCCTAGTGTGGAACTCGTCAGTAGTGCTCACCCACACCCCACCAGGAATCGGGCCCAGGGCCTTCAGTTCATGTAGTGAGCATTTTATCATTGAGCAAGTAAGTCGAGACCCAGTGGTTGATATTCCTGTGCTCCTGTCAAATTATGGTAAAGTGTAAATGTCATCCGATGTCTTACACGCTGTTTGGTTTACTCCACTGATTATGGTTCTTCATTAGAGCTTCGGGAAACCCATCTCAAATTATGTTCCTAATAAGCACTGAGCAGTGGTATACTGTAAAGAAAATGCAGACTATTGGGTTGTGATCCACTAACTGAATGGTAACTTGGTGGCTACGTAACTCGTAGGTCCTACTTTTGACCCTTAGCGGGTTGTGGGGATGAATCTCTGAGAAGTTTCATACTAGGATGAAACAGTTGTCCAGCTTTCTCAGGTTTTCAATGATTCTCTTTGAAATAAAGATTGCATGAAAACTTCTCAACCTTCAGATTGTTTAGAATTTTGGAATCACTGTAGTCTGAGGGTACTGGATAAGCCTAGCGTTTTCATAATTGCTATCATGTTTATAAAATGCATTCAGAAGTCAAGCAGTAATAAAACTATGTCGCTCATTCAATGCAGTCACTCATAAATAGAAAAGACTCATCGATACATGCAAGTGGATGACATATAGCGTTTTTCTAAGTGATTTTAAGAAAGTGTTAATTCATATGATCTTATAAAACTCATAACAGAAATTTCATTTCTTCAGTTAGACTGAGTCGTACAGAAGTAGGTGGACATAAACAGTCAACTTGTAGACAGTCAGAGTTCTGAAGTGCTAATTAAAAATTTGTATTTTTTATAAATATGGTTTAATTCATAAGTATTCTACTTGACACTCTCTTGTTACACTTTAAAACCTTTTATTTTGAAATTTTCCTACTTTAAACTATGACTATTTTTATGGTCATGGTAATTTAATGACGTTTATTCAGGCCCCATGGAAGTAGTAAAAGAAAACATTATGGTAGATCACGAGAACTCCCTCAAAACAACTGTATGATGACAGTGGAAGGTTAGTTTGCTTTATAAACTATAAGCTTTTATCGTCTCTATGTTCGTTAAGTTCACTAAAGACAGTTTGTTTGTAAATTAGCTAAAAATCTGAGCATGTAGCTGATAGTTTTTAACGTTGCAAATATAGCGATACTTATACAAGTCAGTCCTTCTAGGATAGCATATAATTTGTTAGTATTAGGAGACTCCACTGCGCTATCAGTCATCATTATTGTAAAGTATTAAAGAAAAACGTTTTCAAGATATTTCGGAACTTGATAGGAATGCATGGAATTCAAGTCTGCATTTTGAAGACAGTAGTAACAATCTATTGAACTCTGAATCTGAGTTTGATGCTACAAGGAAATATCTTTGTTTGACCAAGTTAATGATGACAAACATTAGAGATTACTGGTTGAATAAAGAAAATAAAAGCTCGAAAAAAGTATATCAATGAAAGCTGATGCAAATTTAGACACTACAGAGTGCAAACTATTAGGATGAATTCAGTACTACTTCAACAAAATCAACAAGAAACAAATAGATTCGAAGGATTAAGGTTTAGACGAAAATAAACGTTTTATGGAGACTTTAAACCCAAAATGAATTTTGTAGATCTTACCCGAAGTATTACATAAAATATTTTTAAGCCCATAGTTCTCCCTGTTTTAGTAACATTTTCTGGGATTCTATTTTATTTGCATAGTACTCTCAAATGTAAAGGAAACACTATTAAAACCATGCTATTAATCAAACTATAAAGTTTCTAATAAGAATTGGCTTTCAGAAATAACTGACAGATCTCTCTTCATTTAAAGCCTGCCTTATGTTGACTTGTGCATTTTTCTGTCTCCCAGTGGCCAAGTTAAATTCTCAGTCATTTTATTAACTCCTGCATAAGAATATTTAGTATTCAGAAATTTTCCTTTATCTAGAGGTTTTGTCATGCGCTGCTTTTAACAAAGTATTTTTTGATAAAAATGGTATCATTGCAAATACCACGTATTACTAGCTTGCTTGCAATGTTTATCTATCATCAACTGTCTCTAAACTAAGCAATACATGATCATAATGGTAATGGCAATCTAAATATCACATGAATATTTTAACTGCTTTAATGCGAGATAAGCAATCATGTACCTTTATATAGACAGATACGAACCTGTAATTGCTATTAAAATTTAGGTTTTGCCAGCCAGCTTTAAACGATTATCCGTCTTATTACTTTTGGAGCGAGAAACGTGGAAAATGCCGTTATTTCATATAATCATGGTCATACTAAGTTTCAGTAGCATTTTTTAGTGGATTTCATTGGATGTTTGTGACTGCGAAAATCTACACGATCTAACCTTTTGGCAACATATCTAAAAAAGGTCACCTCTTGTTCTCATCAGTCATATATTTATTGATTGGTTACTGTGATGTGACCAACTGTATACCGTCTGGTAATAAATGCTGACCGAATTCTGTCTATTATTTTGAGATGTGGCCAAACAACTGAGAGACTCACTAATACAGTACACTTTTATAGTTGATAGTTGGTTGGAAGCAAACCACAGGAGGCCTTGTTTACACTCCAGTGACCAATCACTGCATCTGATCCAGTCTTGCAAGAAGTCAGTTGCTGCCGGAATAATTCATTGTTAACGTCTTTGACTGGAGTGATGGGCGACGTGGGTTTGAACCTCTTTAACAACATCGATCCCCTTAAGGTTGCAGTTACACCCTGTTGATGAATGTTAGCAAGCACGGCTTCCTGCCGATTATCTTCAACCGACTGACATAACTTCAAACTGTATAATCCCTTGTTTTTAAAACATTTTATTGACCTGTGTTTTTTGATAGAATCATGCATATAAAAAAAGTATTAGTTGTCGGTAGTTTTTCGGTTATGAAGACAAATTATCTATGCAATGTCTACGGGTTCTCGGTTGTCGTTCATGATGAAAACTAAATTTTGTTTTCCAGAGTAAATGATATGAAGTATAACTTACTTTTTAGTTAGTGAAAACAGTAAAAAGACGAAGACAGTCAGTAAACCACAGATAACAAGTTCAGAATTCCGTCTAGACTTCCTGAATATTCCTACACTATTAAATGGGAAGAAGCATTTCAATCAGTATTTGATGCAGACAACAGATGAAGATTCAGAAACCTACAAATCAAAGGTAAATTATGCTGTTTATAAAAACTGTTTTTCAGCTTTCACTGCTGAAACAATATACTGTAAAGTATTCGGAAAGTGAATGCAATATCATCAAAAAAGAAAAAGTTTCTTCGCTGAATTATCTCTTCCCTATGAATGCAATATAATTATTTGTAAGATACTGGACGCTGTCACATTGATCACAGTCGTCGCTATGTCAAGTAATCAGCTTATAAAAGCTGAAACCAAAAATAAGAAGAAAGACAGAGACTTTTACTACCTTAAAAATAATCAAAATGGTAAATATTATAAAGTGAAGTAATGGAGGATAGTTATATTTATTCACGAACCTCTGTGGCCTTTATATTTAAAGATAAGCAACACTGTTTCTCTGCTACCGAAAAAAGATGAATAATTTAGGAGTTCTGCTTATCATTAAGGGATAATAAACAGATTCTAGACCTATAAAACGGTGGAAATAATCAAGGTCGCATGTTCAGCTTGTATCTTTTTTTCTAAATTACTGGCAGAAATATCAAAAGTTAGACTTTAAGGAAGTGTTTTGAAATATTTAGTACATCATGCTCGTGGATTTAGGCGGTTAAAAAGAGACTGAGAAAAGTTTTTCGTAGTGGATATGTTTAGATTTTTTGAGCTTGTACAAATTTTACCTGAATTCACTACCGGTTAGATGTAACGAACACCTTCAAGGGTGATAATTTCATGTAGCTTTTCAAACTACTAACCAGTAGTATAATATTTTAAACAGTGTTTCATGACTTCATTAAAGTTAGTTTGTAGTATGTATCATGTAGTGCGTCGTTGATTTAAATTCTGAGGAATAAATTATGCTGCAAACATTATCATCAAGTAGTGATGTTTCACTGTGTCATCGTGCAGTAAAATAACTGTGATAATGCTACTGTTCATTATGGTGCTCAACATGCAGCCTTAATATGTCTATCGTGACATTATTATTTGAACATTTTTTTTGCGAGAAGGATTGCGGATGCATACAAATGATTTCACTATCTTGAGAATATATTATTGAACTGGTAAACGCTACTTTTTTTTCAAATCCAGTCATTATCCTAAGATAATTCTTTGATCTGTACCTAGAGTATAAAGTGTCATCTATGTTTCACAATTTTTAAAAACATATTTGAATGCTCTCTCTCATAAGATAGGGATTTTCGTTTACTCTGCTAAAATCGTAGCTACTGAGAATGTCTTATTCAGCCATCTAATAAGCAAATGAATTATTTAAAAACGAAACTAGCAGTAAATTTAAAACTTGTTAACTTTATTAATTCATTAGTGAATCTTTACCAATTGTTTTATTAATTTCAGCGTACCACATTTAAAACAAACTTACTAAAATTTAATATTAATTTAAAAGAAAAATTAAATAACCAGCTCTTCGATGAAACTGTGATGAAAGCTGAATTAAAAAATGCTTGTAAGTCATTGTTTATTCCATTTAGATTTTAACTCTTGGAAATGATCTTTTTAGAGACGGTTATATTTAGTATAATTGCTTTTACATCATACCGTCGTTGATTGGACCGAATTGATCGATCTCTATTGGCATATGCACTCCTGTGCGGATGTCTCGATCTAGCCTGTGTTCTAACTATATAATGATGGATCGTGGCTAGCACTGAAATCCAGGATACGCACTTTGTCCTATTTGGGATTCATCACACAAGAAGTGGCTATTGTGGCTCGGTGGTGTAGTGGGTAACGCTATGGTGTTTGAAGCGATCGCTTACGAGTCCGAATCCAGGTAGGAACAACATCACTCAAGGAGAAGCAGGTACATCCAGCTGACGAGTCCCAAATAGGACGAGATGAGCATTTGGGATTCCACTGCTAGCCGCGATCTATCATTAGTCCGGTTACATTTACTTTATCTTTATCACATGCAGACACTAAGTTAAAGTTAATAGCGAATAATCTCTAGTCAGTTGAATTAATAATGTTTTACGATAAAATCTGACAATATTACATCATTTTCACATCTTGTATACATGTATGCCTGTTTTGATACCTATGGCAGTAATAAAACTTTATTCATCTTGATAATCAAGTAAGGGAACTTCCACCTATTTCACAATATCGTTTTACGCTAACCTACACAGATGAGTGACTTTAAAATATGTCTACATATCATACATAACTCAGAAGGAATTTAATGCAACAAGAGACTTTCAGTGCAGGCTAAAACTCTGTAATATGTCGTTCATTATGAAAATCGGAAAATCAACTGACTTACGAAAACTAATAATGTGGGTTAGAACGACATGGGGACTAAGTAGCTGTAGAGGATACTAAACCAGACAGAAGGTATTACTGACCACAACTTTTGCAAAATATTTGACTTAGCTGGAATTGCGTATATGTTGTTGAACTCGACTGATGAACCTCCCACATGTTTGTTTTGTATTCCATTGTTTGGGGAATACCTGAGATCTTTAGTGTTGGACTTCTACCACCGTAAATGTTCATCTGTTTACTGAAAAAGTTTGAAACAGCCTAATAAATTGAAGTTTGTGATGAAGTTCGGGTCTCAGTTTAGCTTTAAGTCTTTTCTTACACATTATTTACTCTATTATCAGTGTAATGATCTTACATAAGCTGTTGACTTGTTTTTTTACTTAGGGATTATTATGAAAACTTATCGGTTTATGTCTCCATAGTTTAAAGCAGCAGATGAAGGATGAAGGGGATAAGAACACTTGAGAAGGGTTTGAAAATAGTTGCGATAAAGAAGCACAGTTTGAAAGTATTTTCTATCGTTGGTGAGAACTGAAAAGTGTTCCAATCTGCGTTAGTTTGTTGAATATTAGGTTATATCATGTAAAATGTTATCGCCAACCATTATGATGTATGGTGTAATCTTTAACTGTTGACGACCTATTCAGTTAATAAATATTAATAAGTTTATATATTATTCAGCCACATATTTGAAAGGGAAAAAGTGGATTAATCTTGTTGACTTGATCTAACGAATATAATGTTTATTCTGTTCCGATTCTATTTCGGAGAACACTGCTCTAGATAAGTGTATGTTACAGGCTTAAATTAAATTCTCACTTAAATTTTGTCTGAATATCGCTGAAAACTTTCAGAGTTATTTAACTCTTTTTCAAAGCCATAGTATTTTATGGCTATAACGAAAATTACACGCTGATTAAACCTTCTCTATTATTTTTATATACAATGACTGACAGATTTTTAAATTGGTATAACATTTGCTAGAGTCTACAATCAACATTTCTGCGAGCTTATTACTCCGAATAGCACTTATCGACGACACACTGTTTTCATAGTTACCTTACTTCAAGCTTATTTTCTTCTTGAGGGCGAAATCAATGGTGTATAATCTCTTATAGAATAATCTTTTATCTAGAATACTTTCAACCGAATTGATGTAAATACCTGTGCAGACAGAGCAGAAAAATGTATGATACATCCCATTTGCTTGGCGAATTTGACCAATGCAAAGACAGAGAGATCTTCTGGATAAGATGGCATCCTTCCATCTCACAGCTATTTATCACTTGCATACAACACAAAATTACAACAAAATTATTTGAATTGACTGAAACCCTTGGAATGTGACATTTTAAACTTCATCGTTGCATACAAAAAGAGAAGTTGAGTAATTTCTATTTGTCATGGTAGTTTTGTCATTCTGTTTACTTACTGTCTTCTCTCTGTCTACTGGATTCTGACCACCATAATTTTATGTTTTCTAAGAATTCATGTGCTAACTTACTTCCTCAACTGTTTAGAAGCTCCCTCTGCTTAAATCCTTAAGTATTTGATCTCAAACTTGTTTTTGTACAAATCTGGAATTGTTGATCTATTTACACAAGAATGAATCTCTAATTATCCTTTCCTGCAATCCATCAGAATCAATCTTTTGGTGTTGCCGCTAAATTTTAGGACCTATTTCTCTTCTTCAACGAAGGACAACTACAAGCAGTAACATCAAAACTTTGTCTGTCCCACACTGAGTGGTTGTTGTGACTTGATGGTCTAATGATCTAACGTTTGAAGCAGTCGCCTGTGGTTTTGTCTCTTAATGGAGACAGCATCACTCACTAGGAAGCAGGTAAATCCATTTGATGAGTTGCAAACAGGACAGAATGTGTGTGGTGAGTTTCAGTGCTAGACAATATCCATCACTACACTTGAAGTATTCTATACATTTGAAAATTGAAGTGATTTTGTCGTAATTTCAAGTTGAATGCAGCTAGTGAGTAACTGACCGTCGAAAAAGTCACATTGGATCATAAAAGTTCACAGAAGACAATTCAGGAAAGAAAATCACCTTTTCGACGTCATTTTTGGAAGCTATACAGTTCTACTTATACAGTAATCATGATTCTCGAAGGTAGCCAGATGCCCCACCATAGTGAAGTGCCAGGTCACCAATGTGAAGCTGTGCATAGCAAGGCTGAGTGGTTTGAGTGTTTGTGCTGCTTACCAAGAAAGCCCGAAATGATGTTTGCGTCGGTGTTTACTAGTCAAGCCTAGTTACGCAGCGACTGCTAGCCTCCTCATAGCCCCCCTGGATACCAACCAACTGACTGTTGGCGTTGACTTAGTGGTTAACGTGGTCAACGAGTTCCATATGCGCAGACCGATGGTTTGGGTCTCCAAAGCACGAACGTTCCAGCCGACCATCAGGATTCTGAGCAGTGCACTGGCAGCAGTTCAGTCGAAGGGTAAAGGAGTCCAGCTTCCTCATTTTGGTGGTCACCATTGCTGAAGCAGTCCCAAGAGAGATGGCGTAGTGAGCCTCGCGAAAGTGAACGGTATTCGATCCAGAATACCTAGTGTCGTTTGCTGTGGCTTTGGCCTTCGAGGTAGCTTGGGAGCAGCTTCCATCCTTGAAATTTTGGTGGGAGGGGGGATAACCTTACGCGAAGGTGAGCTGCATCTCTTCTGCAATGTTGTGGAGACTTCAGTGAGACGCATCTCATGCATGTCTGCCCACAGAGAGGTGAGTACGGTAACACGATCCAATTACCGGCAAATGCAGGTGCACTGAAGCAAAACATTTGTGAGGATTTTGGTATTACATTTATCAGTTTTGAGGGAGCATTAAAAGAGTGCTGTGACAGGGGTTTTCGTTTTCTTGTGTGTGCACTGCTATGATGTCTCTTCCTTGGTGAGCGGAACGGTCCCTCTGGTTCTTGGACAATGACATCAAAGAAGACGAGGTTCAGTTTAGAACTGGAAGCTGTGCCGAAAACTGAAGTAAAACTCTGTTACAACAAATATATATATATATATATATATATATCCATCAGTAAGTAACGGGTCAATGTAAAGTCACCTGAAATTGTCAATGGAGTCAAAACGTGACTATGTTTAGAAGGTCAGTAAAGGAACATGAGAAATTGCCTATATGACTGTCATAAATAAACACATGAATACGACGTCTCAAGGAGATTATGACCAGGGTAAAATAAGGGACTGGACCTATCTCTTTCAAACGCAGAGATCAGGCTTGAACTTATAAAAGTCTGGTTGTTCTTGCTTTGTTAAAATTTCCTATTGGAACGAAACGCGAGACTTATCTTTTAGATCTACCGATACAAATGTAAGAATACAAACACTTAAAAATGCTTAAGTTGGGAAATGTTTATGATTTTTAAAAATATCACTGAGTTTTTAGTTTAAAACCTAATATCTTGGTTGTACAATACAATCAAGACCATCCCCTGAACTACAAATATTTTCCACCATTTTATAACCTAATATTTTAGGGCCAACAGTAACTGTGCTTTCACTGGCTGTAAGGGCTCTGACGTTTGATTGCATTTGCTGTACCTACCCAAGTTACTGCATTAATGCTTGTTAACTTAAAGATAATTAGTTTTTTAAACTATATGAAACTGTTCCATGACCTAGCATATATATGGCCACAAGGAAACACTGATTTTCGTTTTGTTGTAAGACTGCAAAGCATTACAATCAAAGATAGCCTGTTTGTCAAACATGCGTCTATTTGCCTATCAGGAATTTCTAAAAGCTAATTACGTTTGGTAGAGCAATTCGTTCAGTGATATCAGGGATTGTAGCATCCTGGAAGTAATGGAATAATAGGGGTAAGGTCTACTTTAATTCAGTTACTTGACTATCATTGACTATTAATCGCTTCGTTTCAAAGGATCTAAACTTTGGACAATTGCCTTGAATATGTTATTTGTTGGTCTACTTTCTTTTCATCTTTTAAAAGTATTTCAGTGGGCAACTGAATGTGGAGTTGAGATTTCAAAAGTACCCTCAAGAAAAATCAAATATATTTTTCATTGTTCAAATACATTAGACATCAAAGTTCAATTGCAAGCAATTGTTTCCATTGGGATTTTTGAAACAAAACTTGAAAGTGAGTTCCTTTTGATATTTAGTTGTTTTCACTTGTGTATATATGGTGAAAACATATGGGTGTATCATGTTCTGAGTGCAGTAAAGCATTCTAATTAGCTGGAGCTTTATGTACCAACTTAACGTGTACCGCTAAATGCATAACACAAGTGGTGATCAGAGTGGACAAATGAAAAATGATTCTGATCACAGTTGGACATTTAGTCAAGGATTACTGGATATGACTTAAGAATACATGGTTGTATGCTGCCAAATTCTTCTGAGACAAAAAAGCAGACCTCGGACGTTTTAGTGACCGAGCAAATCTGTAGTGTGTACTGTGGATTTCTCAGATTGATATATCTGAGCTGGGTTCTTTAGTCACGGAGCTTTCATCGTCTTGCTGGACGACATCATCAGAACTGACTTCAGTATGAAGTGAGCTGTCAATATCCCTCCGTGAATGATTTAGTAGCTTGCCTTGACCAACTGGTTTATGACTGGTTGTTTGCTTTGATTGTTGTGTCATTGACTGTATAGATTTTCCTGTTGGCTGTTCCTCTGCTTGACCTCTGACCTTTCTGTTACTCATCATTTTTCTCATTGGTTGAAAGCTCAATGACTAAACAACCCATCTCAGAGAAGACAATACAACCAAGACCATCCACCTGAGCTGCAAATATTCTCCACCATTTCAAAATTCATGTTTCAGTCAGAGTCATCCCATGTATAGATAATGTTTGTGCCAAAGCATAAGAAACTGAAAACAATTACATGTTTAATACTTCAAGAAGAAAGAGGGATGTCAACTTGATTTAATTTGAGCGCTAGGGTTTTGTTTACTAGAGAAGATAAAGGTATGTTTTCATCAAAATATTGGTAATGACTGTACACCGGATAAAAATGGTGTTAGCAAGTACAATACATAAATGTATAACCCTAAGAATTTTACTGAATTTTTTGATGATATTCATAGTTTAGTGAAAGAAGTAAATACTTCGGTCATTAAAAATTTAGCGTCAGAGAGAAATACGGATTCCACTCATTGGTACTTGCTATCTAGTCAGATCCACCAATATTTCTGCAAATGTTTGTATATGAGCAGGTTAGAACCCATCACACCCACCTAGAAACACTTCACGACATTTCAAAGTAATCTGAGCGGTGAGAACTCTCTAAACACAGCAGGTAGCAAGTTCAAAAAAACTCATTTGAAAGGAATGTTTGCTGTACGGTTAAAAATTAGCATGAAATTCATGAGTTTATTCCTGTTTCCACTTTTTTAATACGAAATCCCGTATATGCGGCATTATTACAGTGCAATATTTTGGAGTAACATAACAATTTCAAAAGCTTTGTTTAGTCCGCAGTCTTTGTAGAGGAAAAGAAGCTCACTCAAGACACTGAAACCATTTTTTATCAATTCTAAAATCATTTATGTCTGTTGATTTTCTCTTTCTTCACTGTTGAAAATTGGGGCGTCTAGGTCTTACGTTGTTATACCTGATTGCTTTTTATCTTTACTTGAAAATTACAGTTTACTAGTTTTTATAAATTTCATGAATGCATTAGACAAAGACCCTATATACTGATTGGTGGAATAATTGATGCAAATCATACTTGATACTGTGTACTGGTCTGAGCATGACTTCACACTAAAATTTGCAGCAAATATATATTCTCTCATTCCAAGTATTAGATAATATCTTTAGCAGTGAGAAGTGTTTCCCCGTTTCTCTTGAAAAGTCAACTATATCTTCTTTAACCTAGCTATGGGGATTCAGGCAGCCTAATATGGTGAATCCCGGTTTTGAAATAATGGAGAATATTTGTAGCTCATGTGAATGGTCTTGGTTGTGTTGTGTTCTCTGAGCTGGGTTGTTTAAGTGATTAAACAACCCAGCTCAGAGAACACATTACAACCAAGAATTCCGGTTTATTTTTATCTGCCCCGTAGAAGCACTGTCTGTCACAGAAAAAGATGATATTTGAAGCTGAAGGATATAAAATAAAGTTAGATATATCCAGCGAATTGTATGTTCCGAATTGATCACTGGGGCCTCACTATCTAACTTAGTGCATTTTTCTCAAGTATCCGTTAAAATTTCAGATACAGTTACGGGTCTCAAAGTTTTATTTTAACTGATACTTTCGAATATTGTGCATACAGTACGCTAAGTAGTAGTATTTCATCCCATTCACAATTATATGACAACGCATATCGTTTAGTTAACTGAAAGGAATTAAAACAGAAGTAAAATTCTGAAGCATCTAGAGCATTGGTCAGTTCAGCAGAGATGGAAAAGTTTAAAATGAAGAGCTGCGGATGAATGTGCGTCGGTTTCCATCGTTATACTTTACGGTAGAGAAAAAAAGCAACATTTGAAGGATTAAAATGGGAAAAACATAGGCGAAAAGAACAAAAAAGAAAGGGCAGTAATTTACTTATGATTTTATGAATAATACAGGCGCATGCATCTCCCCATTGTAATCGGCTCAGAGCAACATCACTTGGCGTTTTAGATCATCTATTCTTCACGGATGGGGGACTGTCCTTAAGTAGTTCACACTTCCTCACACAGACTAGATGAATAAATAACTTATATTTTGTTTTAGCCAATCACGTCTGGCCACTAGCAGTTTTATCCCACTCTAATTGGCATCAAACGGCAGCCAATAAAAGCTTAGGTTGTGCAGTCTTAGTCTCACCAAAACTTATTATCTAACCCCAATACTACTCATTTCGTACTTTAATCGCTTTTAAGTAATTTCTTAGAGAAATACAATCCACTGTCCATCTATGTCGGCCATATCTTACAGTGACAAGTGGAGCAAAGAATGGATTGCAGCTAAGTATTACTAGAGTGTTTCACTGTCACATATGTTGTTGTTAATTCTATTGGTTTCTCACTTGTTTTATTTTAAAACGAATAACAGTTGAATCACCCTTAGGTTATTTGACTCAACTGAATTACACAAAAGAGATATTTCTCTTTAAACAATCAGAGATTTGACCAATTCTTCATATCACTTGATTGCTGAATGGCTGTTAGATATCCTCGAACTGGTAAGGAAGCACATGGTAAAATGCAACCTCAAGGAGATTTTTGATTTCACTAGATCAGTGAGAAATGTCATTGTGTTCAAGAAGCAACTGATTCCGCCTGGTTTTATTCCTCTCTCTGTGAAAAACCCTTTAGTCCAGATTGTCTACTTTATGAGTGACTACACTAAGTATAAAAACTCAGGAATTGCTGTACCTGTCAACTACTTGGAGGAAATTCTTAATAGGTGCACCTTTAACATACGGTTAACGTCTAATAAGGAATTCTGTGAACAAAAAGATGGGCTGGCGGTTTGGTATCCTCTCGGTTCTTTCTTTGCTAATTGCTTCATGGTCTGTCTTGAAAATGGTGTCCTTAATTCATTAATAAGCCAACTATACTCTTACAAGAAGCGTGTTTATTATATGTATATTCTGATGAGATAGAGAATCTGATTTAAACAACCTCTTCAATACTTTTGATTCTGCACATTCATGCATAAAACTCATTCTAGACTGTGAAACATTCCAAAGATCAATTTACGGAAAATAAACATAGACTGGAAAATTAGTCTACTTCTGAAGCTATGCCACATCATTAAAGAAACATAGGCTTGTGCGTCCTTTATGACCAAGGGTTCGGAAGATTTCCTTAAACGACACACTAGAAGGAGATATTGTAGCTGAAATCCTCAAAAATCACACCTCAAGATTTTTAAAGAAGACGTTTCATGCACTTAGATTGGGAATCGCATTTTTTAGCACATAGTTAATCCATCAGTATGTTGGCCACCTTACTGTGCGACGCACGTTGGTCGTACACAGCATCAAGTCAATAAGTGTATTTGGTAATGTTATTCAGTTTGTTTATCCGGAAGACACAAAAGAAATATTACCATTTCTGTTGTTTGAAACCTTTTCATCACCGGATATCTGACGCCTCTTAGAAGTTTCTTCCGAGTACTTTATAAAGCATCTTCCTACAACTTCAAGAGCCTTCGAGTGCATTATCTATACACAGCCGAATTACTGGCAATCTACAACCCTGGACCTGAGCATCGTGTTTAAAAACATTACCTGCATCCATTTGGCTTATCATAGCTGAAATTGCAATTATTTTTTGCCTTTAGAAAATTTCTATTCTGCTGCTGAACATTATGCTAATCTCGTGTGCCTGTTGTTTATTTAACACATATATATATATATATCCACACATGCATAAAGATACGTTTATAGTGAATTCACTATGCCTCAGTGTGCTGCAAATACCAAATTACCGTCAACTTCAACAATCAGTGTTAGTCAAATTAACTTTAGGTTGGAATAATCAAAGGATAGAAACTTTTAACGATCACCATCATCTGGTTAACTAGTACTCTTGATCAGTTTGATTGGTCTGGGACTACTCATGCCAGTGAGTAGGATATTGCGTACAGCTTCTTGCTCAAAATCTTGACACCAACTATGGTGTCGAGCACACTGCACTATGAGGTCTGAATATTTTTGTTTCTCAAAGAAGCAAGAGTGGGATTTCTTACCTCCGACTAATTATTTGCCAATACCTAAATTTATTCCATTGTTAATCGTATATTTTAAAGCCAGTCAAAATAGTTGGAATGCATACATCCCTTGCATCTTTGGAATTCCGAACTTTTTACTAATGTTTACGTTATGTAAAGCATCTCCTTACACACAATTTTTTTATATTTACATGACATTCTTTTTTGCACTTTTTTGATATGTTGTGAGGTATAGGCTTTTGTTCTTGTTGACTTAGTGTCAGTGAACATCTTTTTGAATAGAACATGCAAAAATCATTGTTAACAAATAAATATTTGGTTGTCTTCAAATAGAGTACTTGCACTTTAAATTTGACGAGACTGTTGAGGCTAACTGGGGTCGAAACAGTTGTTTAATTTTAACATTTAGGGTATAACATACAGTATTTCTATTTATTTGGATTTTAGAGTTAAAATAACAATGTTGAAAAATTTATACTATTTTCATTACAATCGAACTCACGCACTATACTAATGGTAATGGTCATTATGATGGACAAAGCTGGTTGATGAAATATTTTTACTATGCGTAGCACAAGGACGAGTAAACTAATTTACTATAGATATAGATTTTGTTTTACATCAAATACATTTATGCTAAAAATTATCGGTACTCACTATTTGGTATCTTGATCCCTATATCCTAACAGGTGAGGAAATTGAAAATCTACGTGGTTATCTTTTACACAGAAATGCAGAAATTGTACTATCCACCTGTCTATGTCTTACTATAATGGATTATTCAGATAAAAAATGTATTGAAAAATTATGTGAATTACTGGTTTTAAATCAAAGCCCATCAAAAATGAATGAAGAGAACACTAGAATTTCATTCACCTTGTCATATACATCTGTGAACCTATTGAAATGGGCATCTTCAATTTGTTTGGCCAAATTAAACCAGTGTAATTTAGAAATACTCAACAATTTAACTAACCCATTGTTTGATCAACTGATTCAATTTATTCCTCAACAATATCCCAATAAACATTTCAATAAAGAATTAAATGAATCCAGCGGTTCAGTGGGAAGCCTATCACACATAATAGACAGAAGGACGAAATCATTTGTATCAAATCTTTCCAACCTTATAGCATTTGACTTAAAGAAAGCAAATAACTTTTTAACCAGAATTGTTTGTCATTCTGAAATCAAAATGGTTTTACGTTTAAGCAGAGATCATGTAAGTCGACCTATGTATATATATTTATATAAGTGAAATGATAGAATATTTCAGACAGGTTTCCAGCCAAAGGTCAAACTTACTCCATAGATTCGATTTGGAGGAGTGTGGGGGATTTAATCGATTTCACGTTGGTATTCATCATGAACTGACATCAGTTGGAGAAAGATTGGAAGCCTAGGAGCACTGGACAGCTGTTTCGTCCTAGTGTGAGACTCCTGAGCACCGCGCACCCATGACCTCCCCAGGGGGTGAACCCAAAGCCTTCAGGTTTATGGCCAGGGAATAAAATGACAGTACATAGCACAAGACATAAACCTAGTAGTTTCCTATAAAATGCACTGAACAGTAAGATTTCGAATCCGGTAAAGATAAATAAATGAACAAGTGTTGAAATAAGTAAATAAAACATGAAAATGAAATATAAACTGAGGTGCAGAGTGGTAAAGAGAGTATTGATACGTTTCTTTTAAATACTCAATTGATGTTTGACACTGTGAACTGAAAAAGTTTCGGGTGCACATCAGTGTCTAATTCTCCTCCCTTCTATATTACATAATATCATGTCATTCCCTATGAACATCTATAGACTAGTCTTGACCTTTTACCAACAACCTGTCCAGAACATTTTGTCACGTTATTTATACATTCATGAATGCATAGCTGTGAAAAAGAGTAGTAGAAAGGATATCTATCGTTGTTGAAACTTTTTTGTTTTTTAATGGCCACATGGAGATTTTTCGTTATACATGCATGTATATCTCACTTTGAGGAAATTTCGTTTTGGACTTATACTATTTTATTACTGTTACTGTTTTTCTATACCTAATTTCTATGACGTTGTTGCGCAAGTGAAATAGACGAACTTGATGTTCTTCTCACTGTACTTCACGCTCATCAGATTCTGAGTGTACTAATGAATTGTCAATTTCAGAAATGGAAAAACTTGTCTATTGATTATTGCACTTCAGGTAGAAAATGTTTGATAAATAAAAGCATACTAAAACAGTTCTTCTTAGTATTAATCAAAGTAAATTTGAAATACTGTCTTGATGTTTAATTATTCAGTCCACACTGAGTTCATAAAAAGAAAAAAGAAGGCTGCTTAATACGTGTGAAGTTATTTTGATACTGATATTCATAGATCACTTGGTTGTTAATACGCATATAGTAATTTAGTTTGTCATGGAATAGTTTGCTTATGATAATTCTTTTATCAGGATTTGCTGTAGTTTTATTTAGTTAATGCAATGAAATCAACTGATGACATGTTTTACAAAGTGTTTATTAGAGGAATGTGCGAAATATTTGGTATAACATCTTTATGATAATCTTCCATACTTTGTCAAAAAATTTGGATAAGGAAGATGCTTAATCAAAATGAATACAACTTGATGATGTTAGCAACTGCTATGTTTGCCTGTCTGAAAATGAAAATGTTACGCTATAGGGTTAGATCTTATACTTACGTACCCAGAGAAGACATTGTAATGACTTACTATCTGGGACCAACTGTTTTCCTATGAAAGTAACTTGATGGTAATTTTTAGAATGTTTGTGTTTTCATAAACTTATTTTTCATGATACAGATTTAACTAATCACCAATGTTTTGGTTGAAGTAACTAGTGGTTGAGTTCATTACTTCTTCAGGGCACATTTTTCTTATGATTGGTGCATAAATGCAACAACTGGATATTTTTGAAAGGCAGCGAATTAATTTAGTAAAAGTGATAAAAACAACACTCAGGGGTCCACTTAATCTGTTTACCGAATATGATGACCATTTTTGACTATGTTACTTCAGAAAGCACTAACAAAGAAAGGTGTTATAATTCATCTTTGGTTTCAAATTTAATTCCCTGGAGGAAGTTGAATGTATTCGCTGACTACGATAAAAAATAATACACCTTTAGTGATTGAACGTTTGATAAACTTATGAGTATTCTTGATCCAAAAGGTCTAAAAATGGATTCGCGTCAATCTTTTGATCTTCGGAAAGCCATATGAAGAAGCTGGGCATATTCACTTGCATCGAATTTGTTAGGATGAACTTTTTCATGCAGTTTCCAACTAAACTGTAAAGACATGACATTTATATCCGGTAGCGCACAACGTAAATGGATTATAATAGTGTGTGTACAATCATAGTAACCGATTTGTATACAATTAACTTTATTTTTAGCAATTAAAAGTGTATTTCTAAAACATAAGAGGATAGACAGTCTGAAGATGTTTTTATAGGCTGCTGAAATAAGGCTATTTATAATCTTGATATGGTTTAATGAACAAATGGGTCACACATGAAATCAAATACTCATAGTGTTAAAATGAGCGTTACTTAGTGGTTACGCAGTAAATATTTAATCAGTGTTAAACTTGCGACCTCTGGAAAGTATTCAAAGAATACTTCAGCTTTCTAAGTGGAATACTTTTTCTATGTACTAATGGCAAGTGCAGGCATAAATGAATGAAGCTGCTTTGAAATTTCAAGTTTGCCGCTTTTTAGGTTTCAACTCTTGATCGTGACCCGTTGAATCCAAGTAAATGTAGTACTCACTGATGTGCTACTGTCTTTAGTTGCAGAATCGGTGTTTATGGTTTTTTTCAGAAAATCTGCTGAAGAAACAACTGAGTAGAGAAAATTCACTCAACTGGTTTGAATATTTGCATAGTCAGTGAAATAATATGAGCGTATAACTTGGACACTGTGTTAGTACATACTTCCATGTTAATTTATTTGTTGGATACTCCACACTGTGGAACATCATTTATTATCTGTTGAATAATACTGTTTCATTAAGCGAAATATCTAACACGTAAACTAACAGATATGAGCAGACTAGTTTGTAAATGCGCGTAGATTTTATTTCCGTACTAGACACTGAACATTGATTGAGAAGATGACTGTTGAAATGGAGGACTTTCTCTAAATTCAAATGTTTGCGAAAATTTACTTAAGATGGTATTAATTAAATATTGATAATTATTGCTTAACTAAGCGTATTATATAACGAATAGTTATCTATACAAAAATTACTTAGCATAAATTGCTCATACCCTTATATATACAGTGAAATGGGTAGCTTTTCAAATTATTGAAGACAGACAAATTAACTTTAGTCTAAAGCCTTTATTTTCACACTGAAGTAATATTTACTGGTTTCATGCATTTGGTTCTTTCAGTAAATCCAAGCATAGCAAAATAAACACCTTTTCAGAATAAAATGACCTCATTTTACCTCACAGTTGATCTTCAGATGTCATAAATTCCGAAGTTGATTTGAATTATTGAAAGTAGTCATTGGACAATGCTTCAGATGTGTTGGAAGAAGTAAACGCCAATAAGAGGAAGACAGCTAGCTGTAGATGTGTTGGAAACACCATTAAAAAACTACAGGATGAAACAGTAATGATTTAAATATGATCAACGGGAAAGCCCTAAAGACGTTAAAACATACGCAGGAGGGTAACGTATGCAATGCAAAGGAAATTCCTAGTAACAAGACTGATCTAAGTTTACTGTACTCCTCACTAAGTCTATTAAAAGTAGGTAGACAATCGCCTCACATAACCTTTAGTTGCATATACAAGTTTGTGTGTAAATGTAGAAGAAAATATGTAGTAATGACTGAGGAAATAGATTTTATCCAGTTTTCTAAAGTATTTCCCCCGCAAATCTAAATTTGAAATGATACAATGGTTTCACATTTGCTATTGCCAGGCACTTTATGGGAACAGAATGTCAAATAGATATATCTATCTTTTAATATAATAAACAAACGAAAAATACCATATTCATTCGGTTTCATTAAATCTTCTACTAAGTGGCATTTTCAGCCTGACGTTTGTACACAGACAGAAACTGTGATTAACCTATTCTTACTCGAGTGACCGTACATTTCGATTCCACTCTATTTTCTAACTGATTTCCAATCACTCTTGGTTAGACTTGTTTTGGTTATTCATCTGCTCAAACAACCTGCAATTATTTACTTCTTTCTTTTTTCCTGTTGTCCTCCACTTGTCTGGGAGAATATTCTGTCAGTACATATAAATTATCATTGATTTCAACTGAAATTTATGAACATTGTCTTCGGTATATTTTTTTGATCTTGTCCTGTAAGTATTCTTCTACTTGTTTTTCTTATCTCTTTCAATACACTTAATGTACGTTATACAGTGATTACCTTTAATAGTTCAATAAAGCTTTGGGTTGGATTACAGTTGAGGATAAACTGTGGATTAAAATGAGTTCTTTTTATTCGATAAAAGTTTTTATCCTTATTTTAAACAAAATTTACTTAACATAACTTCTGATAGTTTATTCCATTTTATTTTTGGCTTTTTCCTGTAGCCTCAAGTTGAATATTACTTGACTGAGTTGTTAACTTCTCCAAATTGGAGAATAAGACTATGCTCATGCTGGCTGCTGTCTATTTTGCTATGCAATTTATGTAAAGTGAGTTGCTTGAAACCAATACATATATTAGGCATATGTATCATTAATACAGTGATAATGTGTTATAATAATCAGTAACCGACTTTTTAAAAAGGTCTAGCGAAATCAAAATGTGAGAATATTTAGTTCGTATCATTTTTAAGTATGTACAGGCAATCATTCGAGAATATCATACACGTCTTAGCCCTTATGAACTTGAATAAAGCGAGAATTGTAATTTCAGCTGTATAACATACAACTACTTGAGTTCATCGATTTCTCATCAACTTCTTACAGATTAAAACACCAAAATATAAGGGATGTAACAGAAATTTAAACATTGGTCAACAGGAAATAAGTTTGATCGGTAGATACGATTAGTTTCGTTCAGAAAAGGGTCATACTTATATATTGGAATAAGATAGGAAAGTCTAGTGATATATCATAAGTTTATACATACTAAATTTTTGAAAGAAAAATAGGGATGGTAGCAAAATAATATGATGCTAAGAATGTGTGGTCACGTAGGCTAGTTGATGGGAATATGTGTTAGATTTAAGGAGTTGAACTAAACTAGTTGGTGATGATAAAGATGATGTAGTGATCAAAGTGTAAAGGTAGAGTGATTAAGTTAACAAGGAGACTACAGATTGATAACAACTTTCTTTTTTTAACACTTAAATCAGGTTTCATACATTTGATAAAGGGCTATAGCTACAGCAAACCTTGAGATATTTTATTTACCTTGCATTTTAGTTTCTCTAAACTGTTCGACACGTTTACTTGACAACCGGTGTCAATCAGATTACGAGCGGCTGCACAACTTTAATTAGCTGAAATACGCGAAAACTTGAACTAAGATCTGAATGTTTTGATGTTGTAGGTTGTAAGCAGTTGACCATAAGACCGAGGAATGAAATTGTATTATGCTATTCTGATCACACTGTTCTTCCTCTATCCCAGTTATTATTCTGTCAGTTATCTCGCACACCACATAGTGGTAGATCGTATATATAGGTGGCCGAAGAAAAACGCGCATTTAATATTCATTATGGTTATAAAATGTTATTATCTTAACAAATACTAAAATAACCAATTAAGTTTTCTTATTTTACCAAAGAAATAACTTTATAGCAAGATAAAGTAACCTAACTTATGATTATAGTAGTAGTTAGGGTGGTCTCTATAGTCACTCATAAAGTATTAGAAAATCAAACGACAAACAAAGGTAGTCTCTAACTCAAAGTGGTAATGTTTTCGTATTATGCTTCACTGCTAACATTAAAACTGTTTTGAAGCGTCTATAACTTGTTTAATACTGTTTACGTACCGAAGCACAAAATCATGATATAGAGAAAGTGGTGACGAACTGAATCTTATAGCTGACGCTAATTACTCACTCCTCCCTTTAGGCTTTTGTTCTTAGTGTATTCAAACTTCAAATGCAGCCTGGGTTTATTCGACTATGTTAAGATATATTTATGAAGGGTATCTACACACCTCAAAACTTCATTCAAGCCTCACTATCTTATGTTTTCAGGCATCTCTTCTTGTATTTCCTGTGTTGCAGTACGTCATACATAATCAGAGATGTAGACTATCTAGCTGATGAGTTATGCTGAAATTGATAAACTCATTGCATCCTGGTTTTATTCGTAGTCATTGTCAACTTTAAATGGTGATATCTTGCTTTTTATGTCTATCTATTTCTCTCTTGTAGAATACACTCACAAGAATAAATCGCCTTTTACTGCTGGATTGGAGCAGTATGTTACGAATAGCCGCTCTTCACTCGCTTCATGCTGAAATCAAAACCATGAATCCATCTTTGTTATGGGCCAACCAGCTGTTCAATGATCCGTTCTTGTTGAATAATGTCAGCAACAAGACTGTAGGAGAACGAATACATGTATCATCTCTAACCTCTAAGTCGATTCCTCAACGTCGTGCGGATAGATTATATCAGTTGTGCAGCGAAGGTACTTTATTTGTGTGCTTCCAAAAACATTTTCTTTATTTATATTACAGATCAACGTTCTATCATTATACTTCCAGGTTTCATGAAAATAAGGTTGGCCGGTTGTCAAAAGAAAAGTAAAATGTGCCTAAAAATGCATGCAGTGGAAAACGTTTACTATCACCGGTGCTTTCACATTGGGCTTTTAGAACACATGGACCAGCGTCAATGAAAGACTCCAACCATACTAACTGTCTGCTATTCCGCTAAAGTTAAGCTTCGTACTGAACACTGACCACTTTCAGATAGCATAATGCAACAAACATTATCTGGAACATCTTATGTATTAGCTCTGTATGTGTTGAACAGTTCGACCACATAGGAACTTGTTTTACTCCCATTCAAAAATTTGAGCAGGTTTAATTTGGTCAACACGAAATATAAGTGTCAGTAGGATAATAAAGACGGAATCAAAACAGTTTTTCTCATATCAGTCTTTGTATGGAGATTGAAAATGATAAATATTAAGGCTTGTTTAAAGAGTTGAAACATGTGAAAAAAATGAGGGTTTAAACTACGGATGGCTGGAGCTGAGAAAAATCTAAGCACTCACCTCTAAACATAGTGCATGATAGGATGGTTCAACATCGATCCTATAAATTTTTCTGGCACGTATTAAGTTATTGATAAAGATGGATGTTTATCACTCACAGTGCTTCGACAATTCGAGGTCATTTAATTATAAATGTTCAACTAATAACATCACAAGCACTCATCTTTAGCGATTGCTATTTCATCAATGTGAAAATGGACCTTTTACACAAATGTGAATTGGTGTTGAGACAATAAATGAATTTAGCGAGTGCAGAGTTGTCAAGAATTAAAATTAGCTACTGATAGTATAATGGCTTTTAATATTTTTGTTTTCTGGTTATACAGACATAATTTTCTTATTGTGTTAACAGTGACTAAAAGAAATCTAATTAAAATATGATATGGAGTAAGTGTACGTTAAATAAAGTCCAGTGTTGCTACACAGATTACCTCATATATTTGCTAATTTTAAGCGATTAGGAAATTCTTTCAACTATTTAAATTTTTAGGTCTGTACCTTGCTGAAAAAAATATTCATTTAGTCTGTTTTAATGCTTTCTTAGACACATATGGATCTTAGTATAATCTTGTGCTTCTAAATGTTTATTTTCATTTGTAAGTCATTCGTGTAACTGTGATATGAATAAGGACGTCAGCTCTGTTTGTCAATTTTTACTCCATTTGATGCCATCAAAACCTTGATGTAAAGTGGGCGAGTATATACAACTGAAGTGTGCCTTCATAACTAAATCAGAAAACATTGTAGGAAGTAAGAATATGTTGATAATCCATTTGGAAACTAACAGTTAGCACTTTTGCCTAGTTAACTGTTGTTGTAAAGGATAACAGAGGAGATAATGAAGGACATGGAACATAAAGTAGTTCAAAGAGACAGTGAAGTATCTCAATGTCAATTGATATGGTTCGAATAAATACTATATATGACCTCATTAGGCTGTCTTCCCAGACATTGATCGGCACGTTCATAAGTGCTTTCATCAAATACTTAGACATTTACAGTTTATTACATCCACTGCGGAATAATTATTCATTCTCGCTTTCTTTTTTTTGAGCTGTCTGTTGTCGCTGCGTATAGTGTTGAGAAAGGGATGTCATATATACAGGTTTATCAGTGATCTTAATGTTGTGGATTTTCCAGTTATTTATCTACGATGTGTGCTGACAAAAAGTGCTTAATAAACATTTGACATAAACTAGACTTTACTGATAACTTTCACGGTTTTTATTTTCGAGGTCTTCCACGTGACAAGTTGATCGAACTACTTCATAATGCCCTGATGGATGAATTCAGCTGCGTACGTGAAATGGCTTGTATTATCATTAAAGAATTGCAAGCAGCTGAAGAACCAGTTATTCTGAATGAACTACTCAAAATTTTAGAAAGCGATGTGAATGACAAAGTGAAATTAACTGCTTTACAAGGTACGTGCAACGATAGGGTAAGCTTTTTTCTTTATGCGTTGGAGTACGCAAAATTGTATCATAGGTCTTCATGAACAGCACTTCATATATAGTCCCGATGAACATTAGATTGTTTTACAGTAAAGGGTTTGACCTTTAGGTAAACCTATAGATTATCAGTACATTGAATGCATGAAACACTTGACACCCACGTATGCTACTTAAAATTTTTGTGAATGTAGTATCAACTTTACAATCGTCTATGTCGTTACGTAGGGATTATTTTACAGCTGTTCGTTTCACTTTAGAGTACGCACAAATAGATTAGAAATAAGCACAGGATCAGCTTTTCAGAAGGGACAGAGTATTCTTGTTGATTCAATCACTGACAAGATTTAAAACATCACTGATGGATTCAATATTCCCACAGATGATAACTGGCTCTTTGTAAGTAATTTCTTGTATGAGGAAATCATGAGTACAGAGTAAGTAAGGTTTACTTCATAATTTAGAGAGGCGGAAAATGATCCTAACTTAGCGTCGTACAAAATATTACTTTATTCCAAGCGAAAGTTAGCTTCTGGACTTGTTTTTGTATACAGTTTTCACTATTGGTAGCAAGTGGTTACACTTACATGTTTCTAGTGCCTCCCTAAGGAAATCTTGGAATAGTGTTAAGAAAACTCGGTCTGAATCATGAAGATAGCACGATTCTATCAAGTTTGAGGAAAGGTTTGGAACTTTTAATACTATACTTTTTTTACAAAACAGCACATCTTAAAGTACAACCGCTGAATACACAAATGTAATGGCTTGTGGAATAAGAATTTATGATGTCTCTAACAGTTTGCTCCTATTTGACTTTCCCTCCAAAAATTTTCATCAAATAACTTGTGTTCATTATCATTAATCACTAAAAAAATGATAAAATGTTATATTGCTCACGTATGCTACAAATGGTGTTACGAGGATTGTACTAAATGACCTTATAAAATGTCTTTGGTAGTCATATAAAATCTGATGAATATACCGAAACTCATAGAATAAAAAAAGCATGTTTCATTGCAAAACAGATTAGCAGATGCATCGTCAAAAATTCATATAGCAGACTGACTTTACTTTAAGGAACTTCATAAAGTGTTGTCCGAGATCAGTATCTACGTGGTCGGAAATAATGACTAGCTTGATATGGGACAGGATCACATCAGAAATATACATCTGCTATGAGTTGTTTTTATTCCTAGTACACTGTTTGTGTCAAACTACAAACTTTGATTAGGCTCAAGTCATTAGTTGCGGTGAAAGTGTTCACAAAGTTTAAGAACCACGAATGTAACTGAGAGTTATTTCTCATCTATACTATTAGCTTTGCAATACGTACATTTCTGTTGAGTCCTTCGTGAAGATGGAAACAGTAATGAACTTGTAAATATGGCCTGGTTAACTAGTTCAACAGTTACTAGCCTGTCCTAAACCCGGGTAAAGAGGGACGCTTGGACATAGGGCTAGCAACCCTACCCCGGAAAACCAACTCTCGATTTCATCGAGAGTAGACATAGAGACATGGAATGTTCGCACAATGTTTGAACCTAGCAAGGCTGCCAAGATGGCAAAAGAGATGAGAAGATATGGCATAGGAGTAGTAGGAATTTGTGAAAGCAGATGGAATGTAAGTGGACTCTCCAAACTGTCAACTGGCGAGAAGTCAATAGTCTACTCCGATATTGTCACCCAGACGACAACCACGGGCACACTGAGTTTTGGAGTGGATATCATGATGTCTTCAAGAGCATGAAAGGCTCCCTCTGATGCAGTGGGAACCAATCTCCTCATGCAGGATCAGGATCATGACAGCAAAATGGGTTCAACTCAAAAGGAAGGAAAGTCACAATCATACAATGCTACGCACCTACAAATAATGCTGGTCAAGGGGAGAAGGAGAAATTCTACAGACAACTGCAATCAGTACTGGACAAGACCCCACCCCAGTTGGTGACATTAAAATTCATTCAAATGGGGTGACATGAATGCCAAACTGGGAGCGGACAACACAGGAATTGAACTGATCATGGGTCGGAAATCACCCGGCAAAATGAATGAGAATGGTGAACTGTTTGCAGATTTATGCGCATTCAGCGATTTGGTGACTGGAGGCAGTGTGTTCAAGCTCAAGAACATCCACATGGATTTCACCAGACACACTAAAAATCAGATCGACTTCATCTCCATGTGAAGAAAGTGGAGACGTAGCCTACTGGACACAAGATCAGATCAAGAAGAGCAGCAGACATAGGTGGTTCACACCACTCACTGTCTAGTGCAAGGAACCTTCAAAATCAAGTTAAAAGCCTTCAAGGAAGTTGGTGATAGACGACAGTTCAAGTTGAACACCCAGAACAGAAAGTGAAGGACGAAACTACAAAGGACATGTTCACGTCAGCCATCAAGATGAAATGGAAGATGTTGAGCAACATCCGTGAAGGATCTGGTGTGGGAGAACACTGGAACTCTTTGAAAGAGACATGGAAGGAAACCTGAATAACCGTATTAGGAAGGAAGAGGAAACAAGACAAGGAATGGATCTTGACGGACACATGGAAGCTGATACAGTAGGGAGAGGAAGATGGTGACGTAGAAGACGAACCAGTGCAGTGGAGGGATGAACAACGAAAGGAGGAACTGAGTACAATGTATAAAACACTATACTGGACAAAGAGGTGAAGAAGATAAAAGACACACCTACGACACCCTGACAAGTGAAGCAGAACAGGCTGCAGGCAGGAGAGATAGAGACCTGACAAGACTGTATCAAATAATCAGGTTACTATCTGGGACGGAAGAGATCAACTCAGACGAAACGAATGAGAGATAGTGAAGGAGACCTAGTTACCAAGGAGGAGAAAGGAATGAAACAATGGGCTGACCACTTTGAAATACTCTTCAATCGACCACCACCTGCAAACTTGTCCAGAAATACCACCAGCAGCCCAGTCACAGAACTACAAGTGAACACAAATCCTGCAACAAAAGTCGAAGTTCTGATTGCCATAAAGCTACTGAAATGCGGGAAAGCAGCAGGACCAGATGGATTTCTGCCAGAAGCACTGAGAACAGACGCAGAGACAACAGCGGACATACTCACACCACTATGACAGAATGTATGGAAGGAAAGGAAGGTACTTGGCGATTGGAAGAAGGGCTATCTTGTCAAACTCTCAAGGAAGGGCGTCCTAAGTCTTGGAAAAGCTGTCGACGAATCATGCTGCTTTCCCCCCTAAGCAAAATATTAAGCCGCATCTTTTTGGAAAGACTAAAGGATGCGCTGGATTCTAAATTAAGACCGGAACAGGCTGGATTCAGGAAGTACAAATCATGTGCGGAACAAATTGCAACGCTTTGCATCATCATATAACAGAGCATAGAACGGCAGTCAGCTCATAACCTTACCTCACTTTCATCGAGTTTGTAAAAATTTTTGAGAGCGTCGACCAAGGAGTAATTTGGCAAGCAGCTGCTTCAACACTATGAAATACAACAAACCTTTATCAACCTCATTCAACAACTATATGGAGACGCCACATACCAAGTGATTCACAATGGAAAGCTCACTGATACGTTTGAATTGAAGACAGGAGTGAAACAATGTTGCCTCCTATCATCCATGATATTCGTGACTGTGGCCGACTGGATCATGCAACAAACCGTGAGGATCGAGAAGAGGGGGATACACTAGACCGGGGTAAAGATCCAAGAAGATTTGAATTTCACCGAAGACATGTTCAATGTCACACAAACTCGAAGATCTACAGGCAAAAGCAACAAATTAACAGAAGAGGCAGGGCAGCGAAGACGGGACTTCTAGTGAATGTAGAGAAGACAGAGGTGATTAAGATACCCAACCAACACAACCAACAACATCAACAAGTTACAATCACCATGAATGGGGGAAACTTAAACAAGACAAAACAAGACAGGCCTTCATTGACCTGAAACCAGTGTGGAGATCTACTGCACTGCATTCAGTATAAAGAACGAAATCCGGATTTTCAACACCAGTTCAGTCAAGTCAGTGCTGCTGTATCGTTCAGAGAATTGGCGCGTTACGAAAGGCATTTTCAACAAACTACAGACATTCATCAACAACTGCCTACGCTAGCTCGATACAAAAGACGAGATGGCTAGAAAGAATAAGCAACAAGGAACTCTGGGAACGAACCAAGCAGTAATTTATACCTCAACAAATATGCAGTAGAAAGAAGTGGAGATGGATTGGGTGTGCACTGAGAAAACCATTCTGGGACATCACGCGTCAGACCAGGCCCCCGAGTGGAACCCAGATGGGAAAAGGCGAGTTCGGTGTTCGAGGTGAAAGTGGCATGGGGGAGGTCATGTGGGGAGGTTCAAAAGATTGCAAAGAACAGAGTGAAATGGAGAGGTGCTACTGAAGCCCTGCCACTAGAAACCCAAGGGACAAATAATAATGATAAATATGGCCAACAATATACAATTATTATTATTATTATTTTCCCTTGAGTTCTTAGTGGAAGATGAGGCTTCATTAACACGCCTCCATTGCACTCTATTCTCTGCAGTTTTTTAAACCTCGCTCCATGACTACTCACAAGCTTACATTTCTTCCTCACACTATTTACTTAAATGAGTAGGTAAAATTAGGCTAACAAACTGAATAGAGTGTTATAACCATTGAATATGCTTATTCATGATATAACCTTTTTGTCTTATTGAATATTGGTTGTCAGTTGGATAGACACAATCTTGAGAGCTGTATGGACCTAGGTTTCTTGGTTTTCGGCATGAATGTGTTTAATTTGATTTAATTTTAAGCTATGGCCTCTAAATCTGCTGCTTCGAATTCATGCTATTTCGATTCTGTCAATTTAGAAATTAATAATATTTATATGGAAAACGTTTTTTGAGCCATTTAAAAAAACCAGAAACTACTAAGAAATGCAAAGGTGATGATTGACATATTCATTCATAAGCCTCATTAGCCTGCCTGTTGTCACATTGTTACTTATCCACACATTTCTTTATCACTGTTAATTGTTTCATATAATTTTCCTTCGATCATGAATTTATAAAATAGCTATAATTCTCATGTCAAGATAATAGTTGTAGACAGTTTTGTGATATAAATTACGAATTTGATTCTTTGTTTTCCTACATTAATGATATCATGCATCAGGTTGAAAATGTCGTGTTGCAAAATACATGCTTACATTTAAAGGAAAATTAATTTATAAAGTGTTTTGAATGTATAAGAATCAGTTGATGATTGTTCTGATTCTTAGCAATAGAAATGTCTCATAGAATGTGATATTAATGCTGTATAAGGTTGATAAATAGATCTTTTAGAAAACGAATCCAACTCCACTCTCTACTTTTTTTTGTACCTTATCTATGCTTCACAAAGATGTATTTACACTGACTACAATGCTTAGTGGAATTAGACGTACTTTAAAGTAAGGTAAGAAGTATTCAGCCTAAGATAGTAAGCATATGCGACACTGTGGTATATCATCTAAAGCTTTTAGAGTGCTTTCATTTTGATGAAGACCAGAATTCGTTTTGGCTTCACTAACTTCTACTTATCGTGTTCTAATAGATTTTTACTTAACTTCTGATCAGCCAATTGTGATGGTATATGTATTCATGAATTATTCTAATTTACCTCTATAATGTATTAGCCTTGAAAACAATACCCACCTATACAGAAAACATTACCACTGCAGAATGTATTCAAAATCAGTTATGCCATATCGTTCAATTTGAAATGAATACGCATATTCGACAGGAATTATTTCGACTCTTATTATGGTTTGTAAAAACACGTTTTATCACATGTGATACAACTAATCATTTAAACTATAAAGAAATTGACTTGTTAGCAAAAAGATCAATTCTCGAAGAATATAACTCATTAAAACAAAAGTCGATAGATTTCAACAGTTTATTTGATATACAAAATGAAGTGATTAAACATATTTTAAAGTATGATGATGAAGGTTTTTGTGTCAGTCAAAAGTATTCAGATGTTATACGTGAAATATTTATTCCAAATTATAATAAATCTACTAATTATGGAAAGAATCAATTTATTCCACAAAAATTACATTGTAATCTCTACTATTTGTATAATTCACTGAAAAAATGTGCAAAATACGATGATTGTGAAGAAATTCGAAGGTAAGTTCACTAATGATTTAATAAACGTCATATACTAGTAATTACAGATTCTTAATGCATGAATAAGCAATGTAATATGTATGGGTTTGTAGTTACTTTTAGCTTCTTCTCAATACAGGTATATTACAATCGTGAGGTAAAGCTACTGAAATGCGGGAAAGCAGCAGGACTAGATGGAATCCCGCCAGAAGCACTGAGAACAGACGCGGAGACAACAGTGGACATGCTCACACCACTATTGCAGTAGGTGTGAAAGGAAGAGAAGGTACCTGAGGATTGGAAGAAGGGTTACCTCGTCAAACTGCCGAAGAAGGGAGACCTCAGTGTTTGCAAGAACTGGTGCGGAATCACTCTCCTGTCTACTCAAATCAAGCAAAATATTAAGCCGCATCATCCTGGAGAGGCTTAAGGTTGCATTGGATTCAGAACTACGATCGGAACAGGCTGGCTGGATTCAGGAAGTACAAATCATGTGCAGACCAAATTGCAACGCTTCGCATCATCATAGAACAGAGTATAGAAAGGCAATCAGCTCTCTACCTCAACTTTATCGACTTTGAGAAGGCCTTTGACAGCGTTGACGGAGAGGTAATTTGGAAACTGCTTCATTACTATGGAGTGCCGCAAAACTTTATCAACCTCATTCAACAATTATATGAAGATGCCACATGCCAGGTAATTCACAATGGGAAGCTCAGTTATGCTTTTGAAGTGAAGTGGAGACAGGAGTGAAACAAGGTTGCCTCCTATCACCCATGATATTCCTGACTGTCGTCGACTGGATCATGTAACAAACAGTGGGGAGCGAGAAGAGGGGGATACACTGGTTGGACTGCGGAAAAGAGCTAAGAAGATTTGAATTCCGCCGATGACTTGTGCCTGATGTCACACAAACTTGAAGATCTGCAGGCAAAAGCAGCAAATTAACAGAAGAGGCAGGGCAGCGAAGACGGGACTTCAAGTGAATATTGAGAAGACAGAGGTGATGAAGATACCTCACTACCAACAACAACAACAACAAACTCCAATCACCATCAACGGGAGGAACTTAATGGAAGTAGCCTCCTTCACCACCTGGCTAGGCAGCACTGTTTCAACTACAGGTGGCACAGGCACAGACGAAGATGTCAAAGTCAGCCAGGATCGGAAAAGCAAGACAGGCGTTCATTAGCCTGAAACCAGTGTGGAGATCTTCTGCACTCAGCATGCGGAACAAGATACGGATTTTCAACACCAACGTCAAGTCAGTGCTTCTGTATGGTTCAGAGACTTGGCGCGTCACGAAAGGCATTTCCAATAAACTACAGACATTCATCAATAACTGCTCACGCTCGCTACTGAAGATCAGATGGCTAGAATAGTAGGAATAAGCAACAAGGAGCTCTGGGAACGAACCAACCAAGAACCTATCATGCAACAAATATGCATTGGAAGGAAGTGGAGATGGATTGGCCATGCACTGAGAAGGCCGACTGGGGACATCACGCGTCAGGCCACTGGAGTGGAATCCCCATGGAAAGCGACGAGTTGGACGTCCGAGAGTGACATGGAGGAGATGGTGTGAGGAGGAAATGAGAGCTTGTGGGCTGTCGTGTAGCCAGGTTCAAAAGATTTCAGGGAGGAGAGTTCACTGGAGACGTGCTAGTGAAGCCCTTTGTTCCACTAGGAACCCAAGGGACTAATAATAATAATAATAAAAATAATAATAATAATATACAATCGTGAGATTAATCTGATGTATTCAACTAGTTTATTTTTTCTGAGATCAGTTAAATACATTTTTGCGAGTGTGTACACCTTAATTTTACTATGCATTCTGAAGAATACAACTAATTATACGTTTTGGTAACACATAAGTGGGTCACCATTGAGTCTTTGTGAGTGCAAAATTGTTCCAGTCGCTACACTTCATTAGAGATCAGAAGGAGGAAATCGGAAATAGAAATGCAGAGGAGCAATAAGCAGTAGCGTGAATGAAGATAGCTTATCCAAGGCGCTTAAAAGTGGTGCTGTTTGTGCATGAAAACATAATGAACTAGTTAGATTTTAAGGCGAAAAGTGTTGCGGTAACTGATGAAAGCATTAGAGATTCCTGTGTAGCTTATTGTATTACAAAGTGTATCCGTCATAAAAATGGTAATAAACTTTATCAAATTTTATGTAAACGAGGAGTAAGAATGTATTCAGATAAGATTTTTTTCATCATTGCTGTCATTATAACAGATGTGCACTAGTGTTCTATGATTAAGTTTTCCAAATAAATAGCAAAATAATCGGTTGAATTATTAGATGACTGTAGGTTGCTTTTATTTCTTATTTGTCGTCTTCAAAGTTCACTAGTCCAGCTGGTATATCTTTCACATTTAGTTCTGCTTGATGTCGTTCTAAATGGCACGAGATTAAATGTGAGTTATAAAAGCATTTAAGTTAAATAAGTATGTGAGCATGTGAAAATTAAGACAAAGAATAGTTTGTACTTTACGTATACCATGGAAATTACTAACTAGCTGGAAAAACATCTATTCTTTACATATGGGTAGAATAATATAGCATGGTTTTAGGTGTCAACTCTTTATTTAGTTGACTGATTTAAAGTAATCTCTGCCAAGTAGCTGTAGGCTAGTGTAAACGTGGTTATACCTCAAATTCTTTGATTTTCAAACGTCTAATTCATTGCTCTCGTAAAACTTCAGAAATAATTTTGCTCATCATGATGGCTAATTGATAGTATTTTTCAGCACAAGGGATGGAAGTGTGGTTTTGAAAGAGCAGACTACAAAATTTTAACATGTTGATATATACTGGTAAAATGTTTTATTACGAAGCTCGGTCTTTGTTATTAGACATCAAAGTAGTAGCTTTTCTCTTTTTGGTATTCACTTCATTGGTGATACCCTAGAGGACAGTTCTAAATGTAATACGAAGTCATTCTGCCAAGATTTATATCCCATCTTCAAGTTCACAGTTCTTAATAATTTCTGCCACCTATATCTTGTCTAAAACTTTCCACTAATAGCCTTTAAACTTTCAAACTAAATGCAGCCAATTGCAGCAAACCTTATGAAATCTGTCGGGTGAATTTGTCCAGAGCTCAGAATAAAACAGTATTTTCGAGGGTATTTATCGCAACAATCCATTTGTCTTGAAGTCGTTGATGAAAAATGGATCTTCATTTTTCAAAAATTTAGTACCTTTTGGCTATTTAATGGATGCTGAGTGATTAATTGGTGTGATTGCCAGGACGTATAACAGGAGAACTGCAAAAATGTTCATAACAGCGATTATTGACAAGTAGTTATTTGTAGCATCATAAATATAGATAATCTTTCCTATTCTTTAAAGGATGTCCAACATCTGCTGCTCATTCACATTATCAGAGTCAAAAACTTTACTTTCATTATTTTTCCCTTTAGTCTTTTTAAGGCTGCAAAGGCGTTAAAGGGAAATACTGAGGAATAAAATTGTACATATATGGCAACCTTATTGAAAAAAACATGATATTTGTGAAAATTCAAGTTGTACTTCATATCAAAACCTAAAGAAGACTTTAACATAAAATATCTAACCACAGCATCCGTGATTATGTAGTTTTAGTGCTGTCCAATGCTTGTGCGACTGAAAAAACTAATGGAAGCTTGCATATTTAGAGGTATACATCCTATCCAAAACACGATCGTCTGATTTTAAGTATGCCAAGTACATTGTTCTTATTGTAAGATGGAACAAAAGCTACTCTAAATGAACGAATTCCTTTAGATAAAAGCATCCTTAAACGTAGTACATACTACACCACATCGACTGAAGAGTAATTCCAAAAGATTTTGAAACCTCATTTTGAAATTCCTACTTGTTAGTGAATCATTTAAAAAATCTGAGTAGGTCACTTGCCCGTTATTCATGCTGAAGTCGTTATGAATGAAATACTAAACCATATTTCAAAGGCCAATCTAGGATACTTTCATTTTACTAACCTTCCGCATTAAAGTGATGTTAATCTGACTGACTAGTTGGGCACATGTAGCTTTGGTTCATTTGGTTTTAGTATGCAAATGAAAGGTCTAGACTCTTCAAACTTAGAACATCTGAAAACGTCTTTGATCATCAGTGTCATCGCAAGACTGTTAATATTCAGTGGCGTCATCAGTTAGGTAATTTTGAGGTTGGGCAGCATATAGTTGAGCATGAAAGATTCCATTCCGTTGGTTAATTTATCTTGAAATATAGCCTTCATTGCCTTTAGTATATCTTGTATGAACTGTCACTGCCCTATTTACATTAGTCTTTATCACCTAGCTATACGAATGAAGTGGAGGTATCGTCAGTTAGTTATATGGTCATTTGAAATGATATGCTACTGTGTTTGATAAGGAACTCTCATCGTATCGTAACTGGATGAAAGGTCATAAAGACCGTTGGATTTTGAATTCTGAGATGTCATCAGATATGATTCAAAGTGGAGTTTAATAAATGTCTCTTTATTCAATATCTTTTCGTCGTCTACAGTCGAAAGTAATATGAAATTCTGTAAACAATTTCTACATTTTGTTTACTTTTTAGTGAATTATCTCAAATGATAGAACCAATATTTACACAAATATTAAAACAGGAAAATGAAAATGCGCCTGAAAATTGTTTTTACTCTTACTATGATGATACTGATCTGTTACGTGCATTAATGGATGAAAAATGTAAGGATTTAGTGAAAATATGCTTTGATATTATTCAGTATTCTTAGCAGAATTTTTTATGTTGATTTGATTGTTGGGTACCAATTTTCAATGTTCGTCCAATGTGTATCATTTTACTACGTCTGAATAAATAAATATTAAATTGATGTAATTCTCTTGTTCTCACTTTCATAATTCTCAACAATATTATTATCGTTTCTGAAATCCTGGTTAACTTATCTAGCTTTTGCCACACACATGTACTTCTGTAGTAGTCAGAAGATGATAGGATTTGGGTGTGAGAATAGGCTGTCGAAGGAGTTTAAATCTACACACTTATTGGTGGCTGCCCTAGACTTTTCTGTTCCATCTGAATAAATAAGTCAAAAACTTAAGGTGATGTAGTAATATTTTTTAGAGTGATAAACAGTCTGTTGAAATGGGTTACTTAACAGAATGATCCAAGTGATGTTTACGTAAATTTAGTAAGATGCGGCGATTTTGCAGGAACTTATTTAAATACTTCGTTGAACCTTAGGAGGTGATCATTAGAATTGACGGAACTTTATGAAAAAGCTTGAAGAACTACGGTTATTAACAGTTCATTATGATAATTTGGTTGGTTGTGGCTAACAGAAGAATTCAGAACGCGCGTCTTTTCTTATTTAGGACTCGTCGGATGGACGTACCTGCACCCCGGTGGTGTTGTTCCCACTGAGACTCGTACCTCGTACCCATCGCTTCAAACGCCAAGTTGTTATCCACTATGCTACGAAGGAACGATAGCCACTTCCAACCAAATTATCATAATTAACATTCAGGCAATATCGAGGCATCCGCATAGTAGCCCATATGGCAATAGAGGTAGAACAATTCTATCCAAAAAAAACAAACAATGAAGAATAAAAAGTAGGTTAATAAATAGTAATATTAACAATCCAGTTTAAAAATCTGTTTTTGAGATTCATTCCAACATGTTGGCTATCATTTTAGTTAACGAGCTATAAGATAGATATTAGATTCAGATAGAGTGAAATACTTGTCCTTATAAAAGTTATTTTAATTGTCAGTATTGCAGCAACGTCGACTTGTTTGCTACGGGATCTAATTTTAGAAAGTGTACTAGAATGCAATATGCAGCTGTTTGATACTTCCTAATTATTAGGTTTTCTTTCGGAAGGTTGTGATTCGTGCGGTAAAGTATCCTTAGATAAACCAGTAGCCGGGAAATTTCAACACAGCTTCTTTGGGAAGGTGAAGGATGCTACAAATCTCTATTTCATTGATTTGGAAGCTATTATTCAAAAGAAACTGACTAATTCTATCAAATCGTCAGCTCATTTAAATTTGTCGTTCATTAGACTTCAGTCTAGTCTGTTTTACTGCTTTACAAAATATCATGCATCTCATTAGTTACTTTGACTCCTATTTTGAATTGCCGCTCATTATAATCAAGATTTTCAATGTTCACATTCAACAATAAAATATTACAGCATTCTGTCTATTGTCAGACTGATGAACTTAGATGAAATAAATATTAAAGATTGTTATTCCACGTTACATTAGACTTCAGTATAGCGTACATTCAATGAGCCGCTAAATGGCTGCAAAAATTTGCATTTAACCCAGTTAATCCTCACAACATTTTTTAGAAGTAAAGATGGTGATGATGACCCGCTTTTATTTATAATTTACATTTAAGTAAATGCACAATGACTGAGCTACTTTGGTACTTAACTCGGATGAGGTAGTTAAGCGAAGTCAGGTTTCAGATAACAGGTCATTCCATACTGACTAAGCTATCACTTATTATACTGCCGAAAGAAAGGTATGTGATGTTATATGTCTTTTTCCTAATAGTATCACGAGATTCTGTAGAAAACGAAGGCCTAACTTATGGAAGGTAAGATGAATACAACTAAACCACTATTACTCTGAGCTTCAGATCTTTGTCACCGAGTCAGGCTAATCTCGACGTGACGTTCTTTAGGAGTACGACTGCTAAACTTTAACTCTCTAAGCTTCGAATTTCGTTTTGTAATGTGGTAAGGGCACAGTGTTTTATAAGACCAATCAAGATAAATTAGTGATCTTTGTCTGATTATATCTTTGAATACAGGAAGTTTGTATTTATCTGATATACTTTAGCCTGGTGAAATTATTTTCGTGATTTGGAGCGAATCTAAATCTGTAGATATTTTCTTACCTCAATGGAGCCTAGGATATGAAAGAGAAAAGCGATTACTTGTGGATATTTTAGCTGCCGCAGTGCAAGGTTGTTGGCATACCAACCCAGTTGGTAACTTTGTGCTGAAATTACCACGCTATTTTGCTTTAATCATTCATAAGATCAGTTTGTTCTCGTCAAGTACAAGCTAAGCAGAGAATGGAGAGTTGACTAACTTGATTTGAAAATCATTTTGAGCACACAAAGAACGATAACAGCAACTGGATTTATTTTTAGTCTTTTACACTGCAAACTATTTGGGTTTTATTGTTCTACTTGCATGAACGTCAACTGGAGAAACGATAATAAGTTTGAGTCTATGTATCTGTTGTTGCCTAGTCTGATCAAGTTCTATGCATCAACTTTAATCGTCATAAGGCAATAGACAAGAGACTGTACTAGTAGGGATATGTAAGTCTAAAAGTTTTGAATGACGTCAAAGTGCCTGTTGTATTATTCCTAGTGTTCACCTCAATTTTTTAAGTGTATGTGCTTTAATAGACACAGGTATCATGAGATAGAAATCTGTACCTCCTGGATTAGCCATTTTAACGCTATGACGTAAACTTGGGAATCTTATGAATTTTCATGATAATAGCAGTCAGAGTGTAGTTAATTCTGTTAGCAATTTTCTTATCTCTAAAGGCAAGATGAAAAACTATCAAAACATTTCAGACAGTAATTTATTCCTTTTTTTTAACTTTCAAAATGAACTAAGGATTAGGATTTTAAATGTTGACGTTTAGTCGATAGTAACTCCATATTAGAGATTAAATTCTCTGATTTAAATAACTTTTGGTTGAGTGTTCTCGTAACCTTGTTTACCGTGGTGCAGGAATCGAAAAATCTCATCATATTTATTTACTGATGCGCTTTTTATTTTGGTATACCTTTTCTATTGAAAATCATTGAATGAGAAACAGTTTCAAGATTATTGAGTCTGGAATGAATGCTTTCACACGGAATTCTGTCTCAGTGCGTGATACATCTTGGTTTGTTCTAGAGTCATCAATGGACTATTGGCCGTGATTAGCTGCAACAGTTTTCATTCAGAAGCTGTATAAACATAATACTCCAGCCCATTATATAACTAAATATTCACACATATGTGAACCTCCGCAGATCGCCTAAATCCCAAATAGTGAGTTTGGGAAATAATGGAATTTCATGTTAATAAAAATTCTATTCTGCATACTTCGCATGAAAAAACATGAGATAACACAGTAATCGCAGCTTTCAGTCTTAGTTAGTGACGACGAAAAAGCACGACCAATCTTTACTTTATCTCAACGATACATGTTTAAGTGTACGATAGTTGTGATTACATCAAAGCTGGAATTGAAACAAATGAGTTAGCTTTAATCTGCTGATATTGTAATGCCTTTCTGTTGCTTAAATTCGTCTTTGTCTACCACATTTTAGCATTAATTAGTGATTTATCCGTGGAAATTGGAAAGAAATAATTTTCAAATAAACTTTTTATTTACAGCATTTTATAATCTTAAAATATCATTCAGTAGTGTAGCGGTTTGCGCGTTAATGTCTTCTAACATGTCATGCAAATTGACATCTGGGAAAAATACTTTTCTGTTATATCAATCATTGCTACATGCGTTATTACTATTATTAGTGTCAATCACAGATGATACAGCTGTATCAAAAGACTAGGACACACTAATGATGGTCTAGAAAAAATTCTTTATAAATTTTATACCGCACCAGAATGCCTAATCACCTACTGTAACTATTTTATAAGCATTAACACATTTTCACAGCATTATACAGTTAAGCTTACACAGATTAATTACCATTAGTATGCTGATATAATATCAGTAAATCTATTAGTCAGTTTGAAATGATGAGATGTCTTGTATGTATCTATTTAAACTCATTTTCTGTAGGTAGACAACCTAGAGAAATATCGGTAAATAAGAAACATCTTGTAACTATGGTTCTTATTGTATTATCAGTCATAATATTTTTTATTTGATCATGGGGATAAAAATTGAAAAGTGTATGATTGTGTGAAGAAAGTAGCTATCTGTTATGGTCTATGCTTTAACCAATTTAGGGTTACAGAAATGGGAACAGAGTTTACACATAAATTTATAGAAAAGTAGGATTTTAAGACATAATTAATCTGCTAATAAAAATTAACTAGGTTGTCTGAAGTTGTCTTAGCTGACAAAAATCAAAATATACAGAATTTTGAGTGAAGCCCACAGAAATTCTGCGTCTCAAGATGATTATAAATGTTAGGCTTTTTCAAGATGACTCATCGTGTTATATGGAACATAAGTTTCTCATACCACATCATTAGTACTCAATTTTGAGGCTTTTGAGGACTTGTTTGTTGGCTTCAGGTTGGCACTAATCATAGGTTAACATAAGCTGGAGAAACACTATACAGCCATTTCATCTTTGTTTGGACTCCTCATTAGACCCATCCGTGACGCCAACAGGGATCAGATCCCGGACCTTCACGTTACGTGGCAAGCACGTTAGCATTGAGCCACTGGGTTTGAATCCAGTGGTTCATATTTCCTACTTTAATCACAAGTCACAACTCCTTATTAAAACTTTGGCAGTCACCTCTAGAAGTGAGTCTTCAGTTAGTACAAGAATTATCAAATTTTGAGGTTTATGGTACCTACCAAGAGGGGTATGAGAACAGATAATCAACGATGGTATTGTATGGAAGTAGAGGTTTGTCATGAACTGATAGAAGTAGGAAATAAGGAAAAATGAATTCCAACCCAGCGGCTCAATGGTAACGTGCTTGCTGCGGAACGTGAAGGTCCCGGGTGGACGCTGCTGAGGAGTCATAAACTAAGGTGAAATGGTTGTACATTTCTCTTTGGCTTCCAGTGTTTCTGCAAATGATGTCAGTTCATGATGAATTCCAACCTGAAATCATAAGAACTCCTGATTACTTGGGGAAT